TGTGTGTGTGTGTGTGTGTGTGTGTGTGTGTGTGTGTGTGTGTGTGTGTGTGTGTGTGTGTGTGTGTGTGTGTGTGTGTGTGTGTGTGTGTGTGTGTGTGTGTGTGTGTGTGTGTGTGTGTGTGTGTGTGTGTGTGTGTGTGTGTGTGTGTGTGTGTGTGTGTGTGTGTGTGTGTGTGTGTGTGTGTGTGTGTGTGTGTGTGTGTGTGTGTGTGTGTGTGTGTGTGTGTGGTCACTTATGCAGGGATGTATAGTTGGCTTATTTCTAGTTCTCAGTTAGGCTCAAGGAAGATAGCAAAAGAGCGAAGCTGGGCTTAGAGAGCGAGGAGGAAAAGTGTGTCAGATAAGAGTCTTGCTTAGGTGTGTATGAAAGATAGAGAGGAGAGTGAGTGCCTATTTATGAGTTGGACAAATTCGAGTCTCATGATGTTTTGAAGCTCGGAGCTGAAAAGCAGGGAAAGAGAGAAAGAAAAATAACCACTGTCAACAGAAATACTCATGAGCCATGGATCAAATTAAATCCTTAAATACCAACATGCCAACAATAATTTAGTTTATTTATATATATTTCTTTAACATACGCATTTACTATGTCTACAAAGCCTCTACTGTATGTTCGAGTTGTGTAGCCATTTATAGTACAATGAAAAAGGAAACATTAATAATGGATTAGGCAGCCCCCTTAGACTTGCTGTCTGCTTTCTCTGCTCACATCTATAAAGACACACACGCACACACACACACACACACACACACACACTCAGCAAGAGAGAGAGAGGGAGAAGTCTTCTTCGATTGCCCTGAGGGAGGTGTCTAAGAAAGACCCTGACCACCCATATCACAAAGTGCTGCTGGGAAATGGAATGTCTGCTTCCAGTTAGTCAGGTGACCAAAAGCTATTGTCATGTGACCACCGGCAGGATCATGTGATCATAATACAGTGGGATTCAGACAATGGGAGTACTGGGTTTGGGCTGTATCTTTTTTCGCATACTCTCCAGTCATCACACCGGCGTAGAAGATGTATGATTGTGTTTCATAATTATAATACTTTTTTAGGGCAAACAGAAATGTTATAAAAAACCCTGAACTACATTAAACTGGGTTGCTTGTCACTAGATTGAGAATAGCAGGTCCACTTTAACAGTAAGTCCATATTACTGTAAGTTAGCCTTGGATGAATTTTGTGTGTGGGAGAGAAACTCCCTCTGTAGGGAACACAGGGATTTTAGACTTTGCAGACCATTTACATGCACACAAACCTAAAAAACACACTACAGGAAAGGGGTAACCTTAAAAAAAATATACAGCTATAAGTAAATGTTGATTTTACATTCACCATCATTTGCGTACCCCCTCTCTCAAGCGCGTACATGCTTATGTTCTGCACACAACTTTTTTAAGAGTACCTTAAAGGAGTGCACTACTTGTGTAAAAATCCCTGAAGCTTTGGCTCTGTAGGCTTGTGATAAATGTGCGGAAACCCAGCATCATCAGTTGGATTGAAAGAAGAGCATCTGTTTATTTGATGTTAAAATCATACTTTTCTTTCCTAAATACCCTGGATACTGCCAAAGCCTAGAGTATGGCTTGGTAAGCATATGAATGTTTCTGTGTGTCAGTTACTAATGGGATATCATCAGTGAAGTAGCTGCTACAGGATGAAAGGATAAGCTTTTACGTGCCATTACTCACACACACACACACACACACACACACATACATACACACACACACACACACACACACACACACACACACACACACACACACACACACACACACACATACACATACACATACACATACACACACACACACAGAGATTGTACACACATCGATGCACTTCAAACCACACTGAAGCTTTCAGACTTTCTCTCTCCCGCTCTTTGTGTAAAGTGTGTGTAAGTCATATGATATAGATGAGGCCCGGGTTATACAATGTGACAATATGAGATCATCACCTCAGAGAATTGTCCTAATCTGTGAAGCAGCTCACAAGGTTTTCCTAATAGCTTTATAACATGAAATAAGACTTGCACACCGTGACCTGGCAGAATCCTCAGCGCTGTTTGTTCGGAGATGAAGTACCACTTTACCTCAACATTTTGGGATTTGGTGTTACTGTAGCTTTAAAAACATGTTTTTTTGTTACATATTTAAATCTAGCACTCAAATAAAACAATGCAATGTAAAAAAACAAACAAGTCAACACATATATATATATGAAAGCTGTTTGAATATTTTGGATTTATTGAAGAAAAAACTAAAATTGTTTAATTTTAGACAATGTGCCCTTCTTTTTAAAACTGGTCGTCATGGTGATAATCCTGACATGTTGTAGGTGTCTAACCTCCAACGTCTGATCTTGCATCCCTTTGAAAATACAGTTGCTTCTAAAAATGCAAAATCAAACTCCCACTGTGCTTTACTCAGTTTGTTGTATCTTTGATCCAACAAACACCCTTTGTGTCACTCCTGCTGCTCTTTCTGTGTTGGTCTCCAAACCAATCTGTCTGTTCACGTTCCTGTCATTTCATCCTCTAATAGGGTCACAGACCTAAAACCTAAACCTTCTGGATGTGTGTCATCGTTTCTTTCCAACGCTCAAATATCTCTTTGTTGTAATTGGAGCATCCCTTTTTTTAACTCTGTTTCTTTTCACACAACTTACTGTAACTACACGTTAGTACTTTATGATATTCTGCATGGATCATTTAAGAATTTAGAGTCACATGGGAAGTTGAGACCATATTTTGTTGTAAATCTTTTTTGTGGTTTTTGTGGTTAATCTTTTTTGTGTTTTTTAGACCTTATTTTGTCGTTTTCAGGCAACTATGTTTTATTCTTGGTGCATTGATGAGCTAAATGTGTCACCTGTGGTTAGACACAGAGCTGAAGAAGAAACATCAATGTGCAAAAACAGTCAGACAACATTTATACATGTTGATGTATAAATGCAAACACACTCACACTTCTTTAAAGGTTTCTGACACGCCCACACTTCCCTTTGCATATTTGTTTATTGAGGTGTCAGTGGTAGAGCTGGAATGCCCATTAACCTCTTAAGCACGGCGGTCCCCCCATTGGACCCCTCCCACCTTTTTGTTTTCGAGATAATGTCTCAGGGCTTCTTAACATTTATGAAACTATTAATGTGTAGCACCAGATTAACGGGAAGAATCTCAGCTAACTGAAGATATGAACCATTTTTACCAAAACAAAACACAAGTCTCATAAGAAGGGTCTAAATGACCCCTGAGTGAAAAAATTCTAACGCACTGCGGCACAAAATTCAAGATAAAGATACCCTTATTACTTATCGTAGCTGCACATACAATATAGCCTATTAAAGCTGAGACTCCACTGATTATTTAGGTATAGTATCATCACTGAGCGATCCGAACTTGCGACAGGGGAAGCAAACACAGACATCACAACACGTACCTTTACGGAGCTTTTACGGCAGATCATCTCACCGTAGCTGTCAATTAGGTCAAAAGACGTGTTCAATGGCATTAAAACGAAAAACAAATATCTACAACTGTTGATCCATAGGTTGATAATGTACCTGTACCTTTTAAAAAATTATTTATAATCCATAATTCCATTTTTTATGTAAAAATCGGAGCGGAAAGTTAGCTGCTAATGGTAGCCACCAGAGTGTATGCAGCTTCCGGTTTTGGTAACGCGTCACTCTCACTCCTTATTTGTTAACGTTTTGGTGTGTATATAACTTTCCCTCGATTCCATTGGCTCTAGCGGTTATAAAGAGATTTCATTCATCAAAATCGACCAAGGGGGGCCAGAGATAGGTCAAATCCACCCAAATGACCCCAGAAGTGGGGGTTTTTGGCTAAATCTCTCTAAAAAGGTCAAATTTCACTTGTTTTGCATCAATCTTGATCCAGGGTACTTATTATATGTTGTACTTTGGATTCCTAAAGCTTTTAGTCTACTAACCCATCATCCAAGGGTAGTTTTCACTATAAGTAAAAAATAATATTTGGACGGACACTATAATTTACAGTTTTTTACTATGTAAAATCTGAATTTTCTTTAAAATAAAAAACATCTATATTGATTCTGACTTTTCTACATCCAACTCACAGGTTTATCATTACTTTGAGAATAAAGATTATTAATTTAACCTTTTAGAAGGGAAGATATGGTCATTTGTTCTGGGAATGTCATTTTCGAGCCTGAGACCTGAAAAACAGGTTCAGGGCTTAAGAGGTTAAAGAGTGTGTGAGCGGGACATTTCTAAGAAGCTTGACGTCCGAGGGATGGAAGAATGTTGACAGTAACTTCCGCTTGTTTGGGTCACGCTGAATGGCTAGGACCGCTGCTAATAAAGACTCAGTTAAAGCGTGGTGCCAATGTTATAGGCCAGATCCAAACAAAACAAAGTATGAAGGACACACAGGACAGCTGTGGATTGGAAGTGCTTTTTTTTTAGGAGAGTGCTTCTTGGTGGGATGGTGCGATCTGGGAGGAAATCGCCCTCAAGGTGTCACAGTCATTTATAATACATGTTTCTGGTACCATCATCAAAAATAGTTTCAAACGATGTGTCACAAAGTACATCTCAGAAAAATGAAGCATGTACTTAAAAAATGAAGTGACAGATTTCCGTGGCTTCTTTGAGTTGAGATAACAGGGCAGTCTACTGTTTGATCCCTATCCACATCCTACTCTGGTGCAGCATGTTATTACTATATGGCATCTGAAAGTGCCTGCTTTCAAATGTCTTCTGCATTCTAGCAATGTTGCGTCAGAGTAAAAAAATGTGTTATTATCCAATGCTGTTCCTTTTGTTGATTAGCTTGACTCTCCGCCCCTTAAACCCTCTACTATCTTACCTTGATTGTCATCGCTCTCTCTATGATAGAGTTGTTCTATACATACATGTTTTGTTCAGTTAAATGCCCTCTAGATTCCTGATAATGTTTCCTTAGTATTTTGATTTTGACTCATTTTCCTCTTCTTTCCTGTGTGCAGGATCGCAAACTATCCAAGTCGGAGCGTCAGCGCTTCAAAGAGGAGGCCGGGATGTTGAAGGGTCTCCAGCATCCTAACATTGTCCGCTTCTATGACTCCTGGGAGGGCCCATGCAAAGGAAAGAAATGTATTGTTCTGGTCACAGAGCTGATGACATCTGGCACACTTAAAACGTGAGTACATGAGAGGTAAAAGGGTCTTTTCTGTAGCTGCCTCTGTTTATTCAGTATTGCTGTGTAATTTGGAAAGGCAGATCAAATATGTTTTCAGTTGGTACAACAGAAAAGCTGTCTAAATGTAATACAAAGACTATCATTATCATGTGAAACACTTTTCGCAGGGAATTTGCACAAACACCCCTAACAACCTCCTCTCCCCCATTATGGATGATGACTCACCGCCAGTTTTTTGTTGAAATTTAAAATGTCCCACTAACGTTAACACCTGGATCTTCCTCTTTCCTGTCAACCTAATATGCATCTTTTCCTCTTCATTTTCATCTCACTGCGCTGTGGTCAGCACATCACATCCCGGCAGTGCAGCTGTTAGTGGGTCAGCTCCTGTTACTGACTTATTACATGTACAGTATGTGCCTGTGTCTGTATGGGGTTGATTTAATGTCTGTCTATGTACAGATTACATTTGATAGAGTGAAATGGCATTGCACATATGCACTCTAATGAATCAATATCTATCCACCTCCCAAGTAAGGTGTTTTCATCACCAAATGCACAAAATAAGATGAGAATCTCCAGAAGTATGAGGAGAATCCTTTCTCTGTGTGTGGTGAGCTGTAAATCTCTGGTTTGAATGCTGATATTAGGGGGGGTCTGTCAGTGTCTCCCCTCCCCAAAATGCTCTGTAGTGAATCAATGCATCTGTGTCATTGTCCATGCCATGACTGCATGCCACTCCCCTGTACAGAATAGATGTGTGTCCATGAATGACAATGTGATTGTTGAGCTCCTCACACAATAAAAGGCTAAATGCAGGGTGTGTGGCGCACGCCGTGCCCCACGCAATGCATGGTGGGACATGGGCCCACCTGCCAGCTGCTGCTTCTGCTGCAGATTCCTCTCATTCCAGACAGAGGGAGAGACCAAGCCAGGCGTGTGGGGGGGGGGGCGGTGGGTACAGACTAGTTTTATGCAGAGTCACAAAAAGAGGAAGAAGAAAGTGAACAATCTGAGGAGCTGACACGGAGACAGTCAGCTAAAGAGGTGGAACAGATGACAGATACTCAAGTCAATGGTCAAATGAATAACTAGATATGCTGGTTTTAGGTCCGAGGCAGAGTGACAAACTAATGAAACACCTGTGACCACAGTTACACAGAGCATTAATCCAGCAGCACAGCAGCACCCTCCACTGGAAGTTTGATATAGGTATTACAATATTCAGATGTTTGCCATGCTGCATCTGATCCAGCATGTTTGAGAAAGATACAAAAGAAAGTTCACAGAAACACATTTCAATTACACAAAATATATCCATTTAGGGAAGGAAACCAGAACATATTTACATTTGAAAAGTAGCTAACTCTTCTCTTGGGAATGTGTCCCTCACTGTAAATGTGGTGAATGCATGTACATATATGCACAGGATCCGGCTGCACAGGGTCTGGCTGTCCTCCAGAGGCAGCCTCAGAAAGGAGAGGCACTGCTGTGTGCTGAGGTGCTGGAAAAGAGTGAGACGGTGAGAGGGAGGACTGATAGGAAGGGAGGGAGGCGGTCAGGATGGAAACACTGACCAGCGTCAGTTAGAGGCCCCTTATCTGTGTGTGTCCATGGGTGTGGGTTTGTGTTTGAAGGCTTATCTGTTCAAACATGTATGTGCATTGTTCAAATACTGTATATTACATACATGTACTGTTTATGCACATATTTCTTCAACTGTATCTGATTTTTGGTATGGTTGTTGAAAAGAGAGCATGGCTGAGTGGTTGAGTGTGAGCCATGCTTTGTACAGTGTCATTCAAGCCTCACATGCCACAGAGTTTAACTTGTCTGTCGGCACCGCTCTGACTTCAGAAAGGGAGAGAAACAAAGCCGAGGAGACAGGCGAGGGAGAGGAGGCCAGCTAGGTAAAGGAAAGGAAGCTTAGGGGGGGGGACAAGAGAGCACTGCTTCTTATAAGATTTATGGGAGGCGGTTGAGGAAGAGGTTTGAAATGTTTACCATAAAAACTGAAGTCATGCAGCTGTGCATTTTTAGCTCTGGTCCTAAGGAAATCCACACAATATTGTCTTCAGCCTGAAATGTGTTCCATGCCCCAAAGGAACAGTCCCTTTGAGCATATGGGAATCCACCAAGCTATTTCTGTCTGATCAATTCCTCCGTCCAACTTCTAAAGATAAATAGTCAAAGAATATAAAGAGACAAACTCCAGTCCAGAGTGACATTTTGTCAACATGTGCTTCTCCTTTATCTCACGCTGTAATAAATGAAATGTCTTTTCCATTGTTTAGGAAAGATAAGCAGTTTTAACTCTCAAAGACATGAAGCTTTGGGAAATTGTGACGGGCCCTTTTCAGTGGTCTCTGGAGAATTTCTAGACCAAACAATGTTGCTTTCTGGAGAAAATACTCTGCAGCTTAATTGATATGAAAAACATCATTCATTCAGCCCTAATGTGGTAATATACTCCACTGTAGGAGGAATGGGCTGACTGATTGTTATCAAGTTAATGTTGTCCACAGTGAACTGCACCTGGTGTCAGTATGTACTGTAGCATAGCCAATAACCCCTGTCTAGCTACAGTTCATCAGAGGCCCAGAACAGAAGAGAGGACACCCTGTCTGTTGCCGGCCTGATTCTCATGTAACTGCCTCTATAATATTATTGAATGAGTCTCTCCTGCATTATATAGAGTCTATATAATGCAGGAGAGACTCATTCAACAATGGTTTAAACTGAACAAATACAGTACAAAGTTCAAGAAAACTGAGGAGTCTGGTGATTAGACCCCATCATCCTGTCATCGCTTTACAGGGTTAGTCATGCCATTAGCATTGGTAATATTCCCTCAATGGAGTTTAGACACAGACAAGTAATTGCTTATTTAAATTCTAATTTAAATGCCACCTATTAATACATTTGAATCTGCTTTGATTATGACACAGAGTCCACCTGAGCTTTTACCTGCAGTCTGGATCTTAGCTCACTGCCAGTCAAAACTGTTTTGCAGAGTTCCTGAGCATTTTACTCAGCTGCCAGTTACTCAACAACACCGTGTGTGGATTTAGCAGCAAGGACATTGAATTAAACGCAGTGAATACATCAAGGATGAGCTCTTTTATTTGACAGAGAAACACAAACAAGTCTCCACCTGACTGGAGAAAATTGGGAACAGTTTCAGGTTCAAATGAAGTCATATGAATTGTGAAAGAGTTCTCAAAGATTGACTGAAGTCTTTTCATCAAATCAGGAGGGTTTTTCCCACATGTCGGAACGTACAAACTATGTGATCCCCCACTGCTGTGGATCTGTGTCAGCTCTGTGAAGCCTCCCTGCCTTCCACCCATGGGGGTGAGGATAATGGGCAGCTCCCACTTAACGAAAGCACATTCAAAAGGCTCTAATGACGTTCATTACCATGGCTGTTATCGTTTCATTACAAGTTGCTTGGAGTGGGACATTTACATTATGTTGTAATGGGATTTTTTCCTTTATATGAATGCAACATTTACTAAATGTTTAAATGGCTGCTTAAATAGAATTCTCCTTTTTAAATAGTCAAATAAATAAACAAATGGCTGTCTCTCGTTCTCTTGTTTGTATCCAAATTGAAACAGATATCTGTTAACTAAATGTAAAATAAGGCTAAATCTGTTTGTCTTAGTATGTCATCATGATATCAGTCTCTTACCCTGCAGATGCCAGAATGTGTGTCAGTGACGTCCTGTCTATTTTGTGTGTGTCAGTGTTTATGCCCACATGTATGTCTGTGTGAGTCTTTATCTTTTAAGCTGGAATTGTTTTACAGTAATCCACTTTGGTTGTAAGCTTTGATCTTGAATTGACTCATTATCCGGGTTTTGTTGCTGCATCTTATCTGACTATTGTCTGCCTCTCAAAGCTTTGATTTGAAATAATGCAATGATGCATTGATGGTTTTCAGGGTCTTGCAAAAAGGATATTACTGTTGAATGTTTAGAGTGTCTCTAAAACTCAATAATATGATGTTACGAATAAAAAATGAAATGCATAGAAGGACACGTGTGTTTTTAAGCTAGTGTCATTTTACAGAGTGTCCTTTAAAAGAGAAAAGTAATAGGCAGTTGCTGTGAAGAACAAAGGCCACTTGAACAGGATACACAGCTTTTGAATATGTGGTGGCGTTGAACCGGCAGCTCTTTGTGTATTTTTGTACACTTAATCTGCTGTTGAACGACATGTATTTATGTGTGATGTTCCTTTGTCCTGCAGCTACCTGAAGCGTTTCAAGGTGATGAAAATCAAGGTCCTGCGTTCTTGGTGCAGACAGATCCTCAAAGGCCTTCACTTCCTGCACACCAGAGCCCCGCCCATCATCCACAGGGACCTGAAGTGTGACAATATCTTTATCACAGGGCCCACAGGCTCCGTGAAGATAGGGGACCTGGGCTTAGCCACGCTGAAGAGGGCCTCCTTCGCCAAGAGTGTCATAGGTATGAAAAAACATACACACAGCCACTGAAAACACACCTTCCTTATCTCTATGATCCCACACACTACAATCTGTACTCAGACATGAAGCTGTATATCTGAATGAAATGTTTGAGATGGGGAAAGTGAAACAGCTGACATTATTTATGGAGTTTCACATCCACACATGCTGTCTCTTAGAAGCACAATGAACACAGACACATTGTGCACCACAGCACACGCCTTCTGCAGATTAATTTGACTGCTTCTAAAATGTCTGGCTGTAAAAGCAGACCGCAGCTATTTTAAATGTGAAATACATACCACTCAGTCTGCTGTGAAGGTCGGATTATGCGGTTTGGGGATGTGAAAGCTGCGTACACACACACACTTAAAAAATACACCACAAACACACCCGGCATATCATACCTTAAATGAAGTTGAGTAAAAAGTGACAGCTCTGCTCCGTGTTAACTTGGAAGCATTCCAGTTGTGTAGCTAACCGCAGATATTTTGGTGTTCATACAGATTTGCGCATATTGTACATACTCTCATGAAGCTGAGGTGAGAATGATATGCTTTGTAAACCTCACAGCTGCTTTGGAGGAATTGGGCAAACCTCAGGTATTTGGACAGTTGTAGCCATAAACACACACACACACACACACACACACACTCACACTCACACTCACACTCACACTCACACTCACACTCACACTCACACTCACACTCACACTCACACTCACACACACACACACACTCAAATATATAAAGGTGTAACAACACAACACGGCTAGTATGTTTGACCAGTAAGTGAGTTTGTAATTTTAAATCTCCAGCTGTATTTAGGGACTTTTTATGCATAACACATGCATCATAAAGGACATTTTTGGCTTTTTAGTTGTTGGATAATGTTGGCTGTGTTATTGTATATGGCATACATACTGTATGATTTAAGTTAAACCTTAGTCCCTATAATGCAGCGTTTCTCAAAGTGTCACTGGTGGGGCACAGAGATGTGATAGGTGGGTCGCGATGAACGTGAGATTATTATTATTTTTTTTTAATAAACTTTTTGGACCTCAGGCCGGAATCGAACCTGGGTCCTCGCGGGCGGTAGTGGACTGTTTACAGCCAGAGACTCGCAACGGTGGTCGACTTTCACAGCGCCGGAGCCGCCGGCCGGAGCCTTGCAACGGCGGGTGTTTGCGGATGCGGTACCGGCGCAGTGGCGCTGTGAAAGTCCACGGCCCACCTATGCCAGAGCCAGCGGCCCACCGAAGGCAGCAGCCCACCAAGTGAGGGACAGGTGGGGCTTGAAAAGGCCCACCTGTTCAAAGTGGGGAATGACAGAAAAAGTTTGAGAACCACTGCTATAATGAGTCTATAACAAACTGTAGATTTAATACACACCCTTATGAAAAGAAATGTCGGTACCACTTTACAATAAGACTACCCTTATAAAGGATTCATAAAGGGTTTATAATTAGGTTATTAATTAGGTTGTAAACACTTTATTAATCATTAAGAACCATTTATAAACCAGTTCTAACATAGTTTTCATACATCAACACAGGCTCACTATTTGACAAGATGACGAAGCCTTATATTGGCTACTTAGCGTACTTCGTCTTCTTCATCAGCCAGCATCCTTGGTATCTGTTGTTCACTGAGTTGATTCTCCCCCTTCCATCTTGATGTTTCTTAGCATCTCTTATGACCATTTATTTACGAGTTACTAACATTTATAGTTGCCAAAAGGGAGCCTTGTTGTAAAGTGTGAAACACATTCCCATTTATTAATGAGTTACTACCATTTATAATAAGGCTTAGCAGTACAGATACATGTGGGCTCACTATTTGGCAAGCAACCGGTCACAGTTGCCCTGTTTCTCATGTCTTATAAAAGCGTATTAATGATTTATAAAGTGTTCACAACCTAATTAATAACTGAATTACAAACTATTCGTAAACCCTTTATAAGGGTAGTCTTATTGTAAAGTGGTACCGAAATGTCCACATTGAAACCACATTTTTGTATTCCTTGGTCATTACATCTTAAAGTAATGGGTTTTATCACATCAGGTTTTTGATCTAGGGCTCTGGCTTTTAAAATCCTAGAGTTTTTAAAGAACTCTTTTAATCCAGATTGAACCAGATTTCTCATGTTGATCAAATGTTTGCGCATACATGCTCTTTTCCTGGTTTCCACTGTGTTTATGCTTCTGTATTATGGGGCACAGTTTTGTTTAAAGAAATGGATGAAAACCAATTTGTTTTCTATTATTGACATATCTCTGATTGTGAAGGAAAAAAAAATCCCCTAGCTTTTAGTATGCATAAATGAATTAAATCTTTGAGGATGTTCTTCCTACATTATCTGACATTTCGTTTTTTAGCTTTGATGTAACAGTTTTGTTTTTCCTCTCTCTCTCCTTTCCTCAGGAACCCCAGAGTTTATGGCTCCAGAGATGTATGAGGAGAAGTATGATGAGTCGGTAGATGTCTACGCCTTTGGAATGTGTATGCTGGAGATGGCTACGTCAGAGTACCCCTACTCTGAGTGTCAGAACGCGGCCCAGATCTACAGGCGGGTCACTAGTGTAAGTCTGCATCTGCTCTACTTCTTTGATCTCTTTAGATGTGAAAGGTGTTGCACTGTGGAGAGACTTAATGCATCCACATGATGCATCTAACATCCTTGTTTTTCGTTTAGTCTCTAACACCCCCCCACCCCACCCGTACTTGTTTACTGACTGTATTAAATGTCAGGCTTGAGCTGCAGGAGATCCTGTCATTTGACTATGTTTTTGTGTCGATAAGTCTCACTTGCTTATTTTCTCTCAACACATCTGATTATAATGCACAATCATTTTTATTATTCTTATATCTTATTTTTGTTTGGTAGCATTTTTCATTTTTGCTAAATAAACACAGATGAGAGATAGAGCTGAAAGCACTGTGGGGAAAAAACCAGACAGACACCCAAACATAGACAGAGGACAACAGATGCAATCACAGGCTGCTCTAAGTGCTGCTGAGGTCATCACACACACACACACACACGCGCGCACATGCACACGCACACACACAGGCAGCTGAGAGCCGTCTCCCCCCTCCCTTCCTCATGGGGGGTGAGTTCAGCTTTATAGAGGCTGAGACCCCATTTACACGCAAACGCATACGAATCGAATACGATATCAAAAAAGTCTTCCGTTCACACGAGACCGCTCGGGAGCGCTGGAGGTGCTGTAGTACATATGCCGGGCCTGTAAGTTGCGCTGTACTTCCGCACCAGACCGCTCGAAAGCGCTGGAGACGCTGTAGTACATATGCCGGGCCTGTAAGTGGCGCTGTACTTTCGCACCAGACCGCTCGAAAGCGCTGGAGACGCTGTAGTACATATGCCGGGCCTGTAAGTGGCGCTGTACTTCCGCACCAGACCGCTCAAAAGCGCTGGAGACGCTGTAGTACATATGCCGGGCCTGTAAGTGGCGCTGTGCTTTCGCCACAAAATACACCAAAAGCAGCGAAGAAGACCCCCGAGCATGGTTGCCATGGTTGCCCTTCTGTTTATGCCCCGCGGTGGATTTAGCAACATGTAGTTCATGTTATTCTCCATGTCCACTTGTTGCTGATGGTTGTGGTAGAGGAGCTGTAGATTTTTGCACTAACATCTGTAGCATGGTCAGTAGCAGTAGCAGTAGCTACTGACAGTAGCTACTGACCATGCTACAGTAGTGAGCAGCAGAGGTGGGGAGAGGCGGGGCTATGGCTTCATAGTTATCAGGAAATGATCGTATAGGACGTACACACGGAGCCGTTTGCCCCCCCAGAGCGTTCCGTTTGCAGATCTATCCACCTTGGGACCCGTTATCGTTTGCGGGGTCCGTTTCCGCGTTTCCGTTACGGCCTCGTGTGAACGAACGGGCTATACGAAAGAGAAAAGTAGCAGATACAACCGTTTGCGTTCTTGTGTAAACAGCACATGACAGTGATGGTTAATGGACCAGAGGAATTTACTAGTAAATCTCTTCTCTCTGTATCTCTTTATACTCTAGAGCCGTCACTTTGGCTCTGTTCTATCCATCTATAATATCCCATCTTTTATTTTAGATTTGTGTTTTATTTTAACATTTGGAAAGATAACCACAATTCCCAAAATATTTGGCTTGTAATGACACAGAAATGCAGTGCAACATCCCCTTTGGCTAACACAATGCTCCTCTTACTTTTGGTTAAGTCTTACATTGAAATTGAATAGTAACTTAAGATAAACTATCATCAAAACAAATGTGTTCCATTTCATATTTAAAGAGGCCCTATTCTGCTTTTGGGGTTTCTTTCCTGTTGTGCAGGGGTTTTCAAAGTGTGGGAAGGTGAGCCTCCCCTCAGAGAACATAAGAACAGCCGCGCCCCCCCTCCCAATTATTATTGCTATTATTATTATTATTATTATTATTATTATTATTATTATTATTGTTGTTGTTGCTATAATGCAGGGGTATTATTATCCAGTGGAAAGTCCTTACCTACTGGCCTAGTTAAATCGAAGTGGTTACTTTTTTTTGGCTGGGCAGTGTAGTTTTACACACCGTCTTATTTGACTTTCTGAAGACTTAAAACTGTTTTTTGGGGGCAGACCCCCACAAAGAAAAAAATATATTTACACACGTAAGGTCATCATCTTAACAGGTTTTTATGCTGATCGAGTCATCCGTGAGCAGAGCATCAAGTTGGCATGCCTATTACAGCTGAATGCGGCGATTACCATCTTGTTCAGCAAAACGCCTCACAAACTGATTAAGATCTAAAGCTTTAGTGCGTTTTGATTCAATGCTGAGTACAGCCAAACTTCACAGTCTCTTCTCTGTCATTGTAGACCACAAATACCTCATTCCTTCTGTCTACTTGGGGTCCGAATGCGCCGCCCCGTTCAAATGAAATCGCCGCCAATCACATTTCCTCGCTCACGCCAGGGCCGGGGGAGGGGTTACAAGGCTCGCGTCTTGTGCTGCATTCACTTGCACTCGGACATTAGGGATTTCTCTCATAAATGTCCGATGAGCCACAACTTTTATTTCAAAACAAAGCTGACGTTTTCTGCCAGACGCTGTCTCCTCTTTCACTTTAGGTAACTTCACTAAAAATCGATCCATGTTGCCGCTCGCATAAAGTTAGCTGAAGTTAACTAGCTAGATTTCACTGTTTCTCGTTATTTTTTTCTCACGCTGCGCAACCCCTGAAGCTCTCTGGTGCCTCCCAGGGGAGGCGCGCCTCACACTTTGAAAACCGCTGTGTGTTCTATAGGTATGTGCATGTAAATGGTCTGCAAAATCTAAAATCCCTGTGGTCCCGCCCCTTAGCCATCACACATTGTACGTGATGAGCTTTTTAAACATTAAAGCATGTAAATATGTCACAGTAGGAGACATACAATACAAATATGAACCTGACCATGAGCAGAATATGGCCCATTTGACAAAACATGATTATAGCCAGACAAAGGCTTGTGTTTAAACTTAAAAAATGTAAGTGTTATATCTTAGTATATATCATATCCTTTTGTTGCCTACTATCTGACCGGCAAATAACAATTGAAGGGATTCGGATCAAGATTGTCTAAAACTACCACTGTGAGAGAAAATAATAAGTCCTCGATCACTCCTCTTAATTTAGCAAGTTAGCATACATCCCTCTGTCCCCTCCTATCCTTTCCCTCCTTCTTTCCATTCCCCCTTCTCACTGGTACAAAGTTAAAAACAAACCCCAATTTAATTTAACCTTATTTGATTATGACTGTGACCTCACCTCTGGCTCCACAGCTCTGTTTGTGTGCATGTTTTCATGTTATAATTGTACACATTATATCATTACGCTTCTCTGATCTCTGTATTCAGTCAGCCGGGCATTGAATCAAACAACCAGCTTCAGATGTTATTGTCGCGCGCGCACACACACACACACACACACACACACACACACACACACACACACACACACACACACACACCACACACACACACACACACACACACACACACACACACACACACACACACACACACACACACACACACACACACACACACACACACACACACACACACACACACACACACACACACACACACACACACACACACACACACACACACACACACACACACACACACACACAACCTTGTGACAACCGCAGGGTGCCCCCAGTCACCTGCTTCCAATCATTTCACTACCTAATCCATCCTAGCAGCTTTCCAACCCTTCGTTGCTCACACAATTAGACCTTAGTTAACCCCTGATTCACAGTAAATGTGAATTAAAAAAAACATATAAAAGTGACATTTGTCCAAAATGTGTGTTATGGTCTGTTAGAGGCGTTGCTGGACTTACATTTCATCGTATGGAGGCGGTGACATTGGGTCATAAGTATTGCTTAATTGTACTGGCTTGTGACAATTGAGTTTATTAATTGAGTTTAGAAGCATTTGGCCTTTGCAACAAAAGTGGAAATACACCTCAGTGAACCTTCATACTCTGTGTATTGTGAACTATACTATATGCCCTGTAAAATAACATGCACCCTATTTGCATGACCCTCTGAGAGCACAGGGTGGGGGGGATATACTTATAATACCTTGTCATACATTGTTGTTGACAAGCTTCATGGTTCTTCTTCTTCTTCTGGAACATTCCTTAGCTCCAATCAGCCCTAATAAACCTTTCCTTCTTTCTCTCTCTCTGTTTTTCCTCCTCCCATCTGTCGGACTTAATACCATTACTTCCTCCATCTCTCCTAACTTTGTTTGGCCCTGGCTGGAATTAAATGTGGGTGTGAGAGTCGGAGGGAGGGGCGGGTTGTGTAATAATGAACTGGGGGGGTTGCTGGAGAGAAACTGAGAAAGTAAAGAAAGAAAGGAGAAAGGGAGGACAGAGCTTGTGGACAAGAGCAGAAGTAGGTTGTTATTTCCTGACATAAACAGTCTCCCCTAGTTTATTGAACCCAGTGCTTTCTAGGTAAGTAGCCTACTTTTTTATATGGCTTTCTTGTGTTCTTTCTGTCTTTAAAACTTTAAAAAAGTGCTTTGGATTTAGTTTCTCTCTAAAGGCGTATCGGTGTACATTTAATCTGTTTTATTAAATGCATTTCACATGGGCCTTACTCTGCAACATTTTTACAAAGAACCAGCAAAGGTATTGAATTGATTACATGATTGACCGGAGAGTGTGTTGACATTTAATCCACTGTATCATCCACAGAGGTACTGATTCTCATACTGTTCTTTTGGAGCAAGTCATTTTCAATTGCCAGCTTTTTTATATTTCCAAGATTGACCTCAGCTCCCTTCATGCTAGACTTTGCTTCTTTCTTGATGTTGTTCCTCTAGTGTTTGAATGAATGGATAGCTCATTACGAAGCAGGTTGAGCCTCCTGCTGTAGCTCAACTTCAGTTTAGGGTTGAGCCTCTGAATGTTGTATGGAAAGGTCTGACAGAAGTTCTGTGTTCTTAGTAACTTGCTATTATCCAATAAATGTGCCCTTTCTTAGTGCCAAATGTATACTGTGTGTGTGTGTCCGAATTCGGGTCTACTTTTGGTATTTCGTTTTCTTGACTTCACTGATCTTTCTTTTTGTTTGTGCAGGGAGTAAAACCAGGCAGCTTTGACAAGGTAGCCATTCCTGAGGTGAAGGAAATTATAGAGGGCTGCATCAGAACAAACAAGGATGAGAGGTGAGACACAAACACACACTCACACATACACACATGCTCCGGAGCAGGTTAGGTGTTCAGCATAAGTTACCATGGAGATCTACATTACCGGTAAGAAGTGAACCAGCGTCGTAGGGCCTGGAAACCCAGAGTTAACCCTGAAGTTACCTCGCTAACCGAAAACCCTGCTTCGTAGTACAGGCCACTGGTCTTGAAAAAATGTGTTTCAAGTAGCAACAACATTAAATTCTCTCTTGAATTTCTATTTATTTCTCTTGTTCCTCTAGATATGCTATAAAGATCTTGCTGAACCATGCGTTCTTCCAGGAGGACACGGGGGTCAGGGTTGAACTGGCAGAAGAGGATGATGGGGAAATGATTGCCATCAAACTCTGGCTCAGGATAGAAGACGTAAAGAAGCTCAAAGGCAAGAATAATTGTGTTTTGTCATTTCATTCGGATATTATTTAAATGTAGAACAAATTGTAATAGGAATTGTTTTTGTCATTCCTTATACAGTCTCAGACCCAAATATGGAATATATACCCTAGCAGCATTTCTAAGCTACTGAAAAAGCACAATTTAACTGTTGAAGAATGAAAACACTTAGCCTATGATGCAATTATTAATATCATAGATTTGAATTTACTTTAGGAGAACAGGGGCAGCTTCCTGACTAGCAATGTGTCAACTTGTTTGCAGGCAAATACAAAGACAACGAAGCCATCGAGTTCTCCTTTGACCTGATCAAGGACGTCCCTGAAGATGTGGCGCAGGAAATGGTACGTACAATGCAGGGCAGGAACTGAAGAAATGGACTCATGGTGGGAGGAAGTGATGGGTTAAGGGAAGAGGGGATAGACAGAAGGGAAGGATCTTGGATGGAATGAACTACATGGCAAAGTGAAGGGTTATTGTTAAACAGAGTATATTTGGCCCAGGTTGAGTCTGGCTACGTTGCTGAGGGGGACCATAAGACCATGGCCAAGGCCATCAAGGACCGCGTGTCTCTGATCCGCCGCAAGAGAGAACAGAGGCAGCTGGTACGAGAGGAGCAGGAGAAGAGAAGACTGGAGACTGAGCAACAACAACAACAGCTTCATCAGCAGCAGCAACAACAACAACAACAACAACAACAACTTCAGCAGCAACAACAGCTTCAGCAGCAACAGCAACAACAGCAACAGCAACAACAACAACAGCAACAGCAGCAGCAACAAGAGACACTCAAACTTTCCCACACACAGGTGAGTTGAACAGTTGGCATTGTCTAATGTTAAGAAGCTTGTCAGTCAGTTGTTAGTATATTTGTACCTTGATGAATTGATTGGTGGTTGGAACAGACTGTTGGACTTGTGTCCAGTGGGAGCACCTAGAAATTGTGCTTTTCTGTTTTATTTATTCTTGTTTGACCCCAGATTGTGTTGTTGTGTTTGCAGGTAGAAGCGGAGGAGACAGACGTGGAGCATCAGCAGCTTCACTATCAGCAGACCGCCATCTTGCACGCATGTAAGACTAAGAGAGAGATTCAAAATATCAGATAGAGCCCAGATCATGAAGTATGGTATCATCACATTGTGCACATTATTTACTTATTCAATCTCCATTGGTGTTGTAAACAAATCAAATGTTGACCCTCCCTCTCTCTCTCTAGAGAGAGAGAGAGAGAGCAGATAGAGAAGCTCTCTACTCTAGTAGCGAGAGCGAGCTGCTCGCTCTCTATCTACTCTATCTCTATCGCTCTCTCGGCCTCTCGCTCTCCTCTCCTCTCCTCTATCTCTCTCGCGCTCTCTCTCTCTCTCTCTCTCTCTCTCTCTCTCTATCTCTCTCTCTCTCTATCTCTCTATCTCTCTATCTCTCTCGCTCTCTCGCTCTCTCACTCACTCGCTCTCTGTCTCTCTCTCTCTCTCTCTCTGTCTCTCTCTCTCTCTCAGCTGAAGGGGGTCTGGACAGTGGACAGGGCTCCTCAGTTTTCTCCTCTGACTCCCCAACCTGGCTCAGCTGACCATGTCGTACAGCTGCCCCACCTCCACCCACCCCCCCTCCCAGCCCCAAACCCCCTACCCCTCCACCCCCTCAGCCAACCCACAGCAGCACCCAGGCTACGCCCAGCCGCTGCAGCAGCAAATGGTGAGTGCTGATGACCTCCACATTGGACTTTACATTTTCACCTGCACGTATGACGTCATGCTTAGCCTGTCTGTGGGCGGGGCTTTACTCACAGGTGCTGAACATGAACGTTTGAAGTGAGCACTGCATTTTGTTTGAGTGAGTGTGCAGTGTTTGTGAGTAGACTAGGAATTGTGGTTATTGTTGAACTAAATACACAAGAGCATGGGTTTTTTACTTTTGATTGGAGATGATAATTTTTTACATAAAGAAGATATTTGATTTTTCTCTTGCCTAATGAGGCCAAGTCAGCCAAGTTAGACAATCTGATATTTATTCATGCTGCTAAGCAGTTAGTCAACAATTGACTTTCATGTTATGGTAGCGAATAATTCATTGTTTGGTGTATTTCATCTCAGAGGTCTGAAAGTCATTCTCTCTTGCCTCCATCCTGCCATCCCATCAGATACTTTCTTTCTCTTTCCACAATCCTCCTCCATTTTAGTTGGAACTCTTATTTTAATGCAATACTCCCTGATCTATGCATCCAATTGTTGCCCCAGCTGTTTATTCGGTTGCTATTCTTTTCTCGATTTTGTATATATTTCCTTGTTTTGTACGTTTTGAAACACATCAACATGCTTTAACTTTGCTGATGCAGAAGCATTGTATTCTGGAAAGAATTACAATCAATAGGGATTAAAATGCCTACAACATAGTAATTACTTGGCTGAGTAATGTAACTTAAATGTATTATAATCAGTATTGTAATCAGTAGTCAGGGAGAGAAATATAAATATAATAATAATAATAATAATAATTTCGATTTTTATAGCGCCTTTCAAGAGACCCAAGGACGCTTTACAATGGGAAACAAAACAACAAAATAATAATAGTCATACAGATACACATGTTTGAAAAAGAACAGGTTGCTGGGTACTGCATTTTAGCTGAGGCCAAAGGCCTGAGTGAACAGATGGTGTTTGAGTTGTTTTTTGAAAGTGTCCAGAGAGTCGGCATTCCTGATAGCAGAGGGGAGAGAATTCCAGAGGGTGGGGGCTGCGACACTGAAGGCTCTGTTGCCAAAGGTTTTCAGCTTGGAGCGCTGGATGGAGAGCAGCCCGTTGTCACGAAATATGCACTAGTATTCTTGCACATCTTCTGGATTCTGACTGTATTTTAGGATTTTCCCAAAGAGATAATTGACCTTAGATATAGCATACTTTTGTAATGCAGATATCATTTATTATATTTAATTGTTGTTTATTGATATTACATTATTTCTTTCTAAGTACTTAGGAAGGGAGGTTCTGCATTTCTTATTTAATAATATAATACTTTTCATTTCCTTTTGGCTACCAATTTCAAATGTACCATCACTGGATGATCATTCAGTTTGCATGCTTGTTAATTCAATAATCAAATTATGGTTTGGGTTTATTTTTAGGACTTTTTCCAATAAGCCTATTTCCTCATTAAAGTTTATTTCAGGGTCACCACCCGAGTTAATGACAGACTGGTTTATAACATTAGAGAACGACTTCATTGAATATGTTGAATAACCATTCTTTCCTTCTATGTAACATTGTGTTCATTTGTTTTTTATTCCGTTTCAAATATGTGTTCCTTTTGTTTTTTTGGTCATCAGTCTGTTTAAGTTTTCTTTACCGCATATGTTTAGAATTATATTTCCGTGTGTAATTGTGCCATTTGTATTGTGATACTATCTTAAATGGTTGCACTGATAACAATCTTCCCTCTACAGTTTTTCTCTTTCATTTTCCCCATTGTTATGAATTACTTTTATTTACACGTTTATGTATTGCGTGATTTAGTATCATTATTTACTCGATCACTTTATTGATTTTGTTTGTGTATTCTTCACTTTTCAAACGTGTGTCCTTTGGGTGTGTTGTATTTTATCTATGTTTAGTTTGTTTTTTGTGTGTTATAATTTAATGTCTTTGTTTTTCATGTTGGTCCCGCCCCCCCCTCCCCTCTCCCTGGCCTCCAGCCTGCGTCGCGCCCTCGTCGAAGTCGTAGCATGTCTTTTTGCGTCCCCCCCTCCTCGTACTCCTTTTCCCATGCTCCTTCGCCCCTGGCCGCTCCTCCACAGCAGCCCTCCACCCCTCCTCCAGACCTGTACTCCTCATCCTCCTACACCACCCCCCCCCTGCATGCCTCTCGCGGCTGAGAGGGACACATTCGCCGGGCGCCTCTCCAAGGCCCTGGAGACGGTCCTGCCCCTCCACTCTGCCTCCCCTCTGCCCAGCGCCATGCAGCGGAGGGCCAGCCTGCCCGCCCTGTTCTCCACACCTGTAGGTTCACAGTCTCACGTCCTGAGGGGCCACAGTGGTGGTGACAACCACAGGGGGGGAGAGGGAGAGGGAGAGATGAGGTGTCTGAAAGTAGATAAAAGGGCCAGGTGCCACTTTATATGGAATGATTGATAATGATCAGCTCTTATTACTCTTTCTATCAGTACCCATTTTTTTAACAGCTTTGAACGACTAGCCAAATGGAAACAACCAGATGGAATTAGAAAAAGGAAATATTTGCGAATAATTCGAAATTAAAGGATTTAGAAGTACGTTCAAAGTAAACTGGTTTATTACCTCTTCTACCTACCAAGCCTGCTTTACTGAATATTGATGTACACATATGTAATATATATTGGTATATATATTTCATGCAAAAAGTGAAACTCAGTAAAAAGAAATCTGCAATTACATCATATTTTTTATTTTAGTCATTTTAGGTGGCTCCTATATTTTGATTAGGTAGCTAACAGGGACCTGTGTTAGTTCAAACTTAGTTTATTTTCAGGCACTGCTGTGAGTCTGACATCCTACCCATCCACCTCTCTTTAACTCTCTTTCTCCCTCTGTTGGACCACCATGTGTTCATATTCAAATCAGATAGACTGGCTATACCTTTACCTTTGCTCTATGATACTAATATCCTAAGTCCTAATATCTTTTGCATCTGCATCAGGAAAACTGCCCATTTGACAACCCTAATAATAAAAGCAGACATTTTACAGTACAGCATGTTAGCGTTCTGAAAGTTGCTGTATCCGAAATGTAAATTAATAATCAAGAATGACTTAGGTGGCTCTATTGGCTCAAATTTTAGTCAGAATATAATGTTGTGGCTCATGGTCGCCTCCTTCTCCACAAGAGGGGCACCTTTTTTATTTTTTTTTATTTTAATAGTCAAGACATCATGCTTAAAACCTCGGCTGACTAGATAGTTAGGTTGCAACTACTTAGTCAGAAGATTAACATTTGACAGTGATCATTTCTGAAATAAATGACAGTTTTTGTGAGTGCAGATGCTTCAGGATATTATGGAGCAAACATTTGGCCTTTCTTCTCTTTATACCACCTCACTACAATCTACCTCTACCTGTGAGCTATAGCAGTGTCTCCCACTTGTCTCTGTGCTGTGTCCTACCATTTCATCTCATCACTATCTGTTAGATATGTTCTGATCTATCTTAAGCACGTCATTTTGTTTCTAATCTGGAAAGATAATTCATTTCTTTTTTTCTCTTGGTATTGCTTTGAAATGATGCTCTTTAATGCACTGTTTTCTCCATTTCATGTGGGCCTTTGCTGTGGTTCTCTCTCATTCTCATCCTTGAATACATTGTATCTCATTGTCGCAGCAGCATTCAATGTCGCACCCCTACAGCGGAGGAGGAAGCACAGTAGGAGCAGGAGGGAGCATCCCCCTCCAAACCCTCCCAGACCCCCCTACTATTTTCTTCCCCTCCATCCCTGAGCGGCCCATATCTTTCTCTCCTCCCCCCACTGGGCCTCCTAAGGCCTACAACACCCAGAGACGCAAGAGCACGTCCATTCTGGAGGCACACACCCGACACTTCCAGCCTGCCTACCCTCGCTATGGGAGTAGCCTGCATCCTTTTGCTGGGATGGAGGGCGTTGAGACCCCTCCTCTCTTTATGGTCAATCCCAGTTTTGCAGCAGCTGCTCAAAGACTTGGTGTTGGAGAGCCGCTGCATCTCCAAGGACAATCGGACCCGAGCTTGTACGTCTACAAAGACATGAGAGCAGAGCACGAGGAAGCAGTGAGGAGACTGAGTCTGAATCAAGCTGCCTTATTGGACCATTATGAAGCCATGGCATATGGAGGTTATCCAATGACTGCACACCAGCTAGGCCACTTGGGTTTCCATCAGCAGATGCAAGCAGCAGCCGCCGCTGCTAGCATGGGGTTTGAACCGGTTCCTCCCCCTCAGCCGGGCTTCTTGCACACACATCTCATGCAAAGAATGAGCGCACACAGCCCAATCCCTCCACCTTTACCCCCCATGAGTGGGCCCGCTGGTGGCTCTACATCATCATCTGATGGATGCTACCCTCCACCACAGCACCCCTCCTCTTCTGCTTTCCCCATGTCCGCACCTGCAGTGATGGCCGAAGCCTTGCCATCAACTGGGAGTGTTTTTGAGTTCCATTTAGCCGCAGCGGCCGCAGCTGCTGCTGGAGACCCAAGCCTCCTGGCGTCCAGACTGTACCGGGCCCGCAGGAGCTCCATGGACCTCCCTCTGGAGGACACTGGGACTGGGTCAGGAGGTTCAGGCACGTACAGCCGACTGCAGCCAGTGACAGAGGAGCTGTACACGTACCTCAGCCCCGAGCTCCCCTTACCTCCAGGAAGTCTCCTCCTTCACCACATAGGGATAGCCGGAAAAGACAGAAGCCCAGATCCTTCTAGTGACTCGTTTGCCTCCTCTGACGCCGGAGAGTTCCAGTCCCCTCCTCCCCCACCTCTGCTCCCTCCCTTCGACTCCTCCGCTGCTCAGTCCATCCCTCACTCGTCCTCCGCTGTGTTCTACGATGCGCCCGGAGGACTGTTCCCTGTAGATCCCCAGGGACACCCACCCTCCATGCAGAGCTTTCTCCCTGCCACCCCATCCACTGAGCTTGGGGGAGCACCATCCACCCAGCTGGAGTCTCTGATCCAGAGTGCCTGGGCTCGGCATGGAGGGGTGATACCAGCCCAACCCGATATGACATACCATGAGTCATTGCTGGCCATGCAGGCCGCTAACCCCACTCTGGTACTACGTTCAGACCTAAAATACCCCTAAGACTCTGGGTCAATTACTATTACATACGTTCCTTTTCTAGCAAGGATTCACAACCACCATATATTATAATTGCCTTATTGTAACATTCTGTGCTCTTTTTTTATTGTTTGTCTGCAAAAAGACATTGTTACAAAAATGGAGAATGACAAATATTGCCATGGACCAAATATGTCATGCTCGTGTGCCCATTGGGTCATTTGCCATTGTGTATGGTATAACAACAAGTAGAGAGATAGACAATGGTATCATACATCAGAGTAAAGTGAATCCTTCTATGAAAAGCAGCTGAATTATTTATAATAGTGGTATGACCTAGAGGCTTTTATACCAATCCCTGTTGTTTTTTTTACCCTACCAACCCAGGAGCCCCCGATGATGTAGTAGTCTTTGTTTGTGATTTTATCCCTTCAAGTCATATGAACACTGCAGAGAGAGGGTCTCATGGTCTGCCTTCAAAATGTCTCACATTATTACGTGTTCTGCCTCAAGAAGCATACTTTATAGAAAAATGCTAGTCATGAGCAGAGCTTTCATAAAACTTTAAAGAAGGGGGCACAACCCAGAGCCCAACCAACCAGAAACATTCGATTTCAAACCCAACATAAGACTCAGTATCATGAGTGGAATCAAAAGGATTTAGAAAGCATTCAGAAGGTAGTCTTTGAGACCAACTCTGGTGTACAAGCTTTTAAAAGCGGTCAAAGCCCCCTCCTTTCTGTGTGTATTTTTTTTATTTGTCAATGTCAGTAAGTAATATTTTGTCTGTATGTTCATATTTAAATGTATATGAGAAAATGTGTGTTTGTGTGAGTATACTGTATTTATGGTATACTTCATTTTTTTGCTCATACAAATCCAAAGTCCAACATCAATGGTGAACATTATATATAATAACACTTTCAAATGTAGCTTTATATTCTAGACACCTACATGGGGAATGACATGTTACGAATCCAAGAAAATCCTGAAAGTAATGATAAAGCTACGAGACTTTGCTGATTTGTATGGACAAACACACAGAAACATACAACAAAACCAAGGGGGCTTAGACAAACCTAGCAATGTAACCATGCAGATAAACATTTCATTTGTTTATTCTATATTCTTTCTGTCTTCTGTTGTAATTGTTTCTTTATTTTAGCATTTTATGTTGTCCTTTGCTGGTAGTCAACTTTCTACACAAGGTTCAAAAGTCACAGTTCACATTCATGAAACCTTTAGAACGCTGATATTTCCCATGGTCTCTTTAAAACACTTATGATCACTCTTCTATTTTCTCCAATCTGTCTGACCGGTTTTATTTCATGTCGTTGAATTGAGGTTTTCTATCTTTCTATATATTTATTAGATATCTTTTGTGAAATTCTTTATTGTCTTTACGTGTTGTTAAAAAGGCAGGTAGCAGTGTGTCTGATGCCAAACTGCCTCCTACGGGTTCAGTCACAGAATATCTCTGTATGATTCTGTCCTGTGGTGTTCACACGGTCACTAGGAATGCACCAGGAAAATCAATAATCCCCAAATGTACGTTACCAGGTAATCATTTAAAAACGGCAACATTACAAACCAATCAGACTTTCTTTTAGGGCTGCTTATAAAATGTCAGGAAGAAATCTCAAAATGAAAATCTTAGTATATTTGACGTGGCAATAGATCCAATATGGCATCTGTGTAAGGTGTTTTAGGGCAAACAGCAGTGGGTTGTTTGGTGTCATTATTCTAGCTTCCACTTTCTTTGACTTATCACTACCAATCACTAAGGGTTTGACCTGCATGTGAGAAATCCCTGTACTTACACCCTGCCTAACCCCAGTATTGTGCCTGTACTGTTGTACATGCTACACTACAAACTGTGTGTATTTGTTTATGCATACAGTCGGTATTGGTGTGCTTGTATCTGTAGCCGTATAGATGTTGTCTGTGTGCATATGTGCATACACAAGAAGGAAATGTAGACTCCAAACTGATCACTGTAGAACAGCAGAAGTACCTTGTGTTTGCACTCATGTACGGTTTATGAGTATGAGCTGCAAACATTTCCTGATTTTGTTTTTCTTTTGTCTTGTTGCCGATCTCTCTTGATTCCCTCTCCCACAACACCTCTTCCTCTCTGTCCGTCTTTCTGCAATTCTGTTTCTCAGCAGCAGGTTCAGTCCCCCATCCCGCAATCCACTGCAGGACCACCCCCTCTGGTTCCTGCCAACACACAGCCAGCTCCTCCTGGGACCCCCCAACAGGTAAGATCTGTAATAAAACACTATTTATCTAAAAGTGTGTTCTCTTATCTCATTTCATTACTTTGATCCCCCTTTTAATACCACATCCTCATAAAATTAATACAAAAAAATGACCCCACCCTATTTTTGCTTATCCAGCAATAACTGGGCTTTGTCTATGAAGTTGTTGCCTTTCCCTCGAGGGAACCCCCCCCCCCCCCCCCCCCACAGAGCTGGCTTTGCCCCCAGCACAAACCACTGGCATGAACTAATTGCAGCTTTAAACTGAATTGATTGAGCATGAAATTGGACATTAATCTGACATCAAATGTTTTTTGTCAGAAAAACAGGTTTCCTCATTAGAACTAGCAAAACAACCATTCACACATAATTAAATTCAACATGTTTGTGGTTGTATAACAAACTTTGTATGGCATTTATACAACGTTGCACTATTTTAATATTGTTCAGCAGCCTTTCAGGAAATGAACAATTCATGGGATAATACAACATTGAATTAAGTAACATTAATTTTGCCAGCTGGTATTTTCCAACTCTTTTTAGTGTCTTATACCTGGGATCATCTGAGTTTATCCTGGTTATTAGAAGCAGGACATGACTGGGAGCTGAACTACCTAAAAAAAGTCTGAAACCTAAAAAGGATATTGGTGTAATCTTTATATATTTAGTAATTTCCCCTCACTGTCCCTCTCTTTTCTTCCTCTCTCCAGGTTGTTTCATCCAGTCACAGTATCACATCGGTTCAGAGCCCCTCGCACACATCTCTGCCTTACACATCTTCACAGGTACGTAAAGTAGCACCGCTAATTAAAAATACATTTACGAGATTACCTCATAAACACATTCCTAATGCAAACAAGTTGCTGCTGGTTTTTCTGCAGACAGTAGCAGGATTTAACTCAAGATCATCTTTACCGACACACACACACACCTACCGCCTTTTATACACACGCCAAAGTCTGAGTCAAAGCCAATTTAATAAACACTGACTCTTTTTATTGTCATCATGTAGAACCCTGAGGGTTAGTTTAGGTTCCAAAGGACTCTCTGATAGTGTTGCTTTCCCACACACTCTTCTGTATATGCATTTCTGTAAAAACACAGTCAGCCAGGGACCAACATGGACATACAGTATTCAAGTATTTAATCACACTTCATAACCATTCTATTACTGCATGTTTTGCTTGAACTGCTTTTCTGTAAACTTCTTTTTGTCAGCTCATATTGTTTCTTTTTTTACTTTTCCCACTTGCTGGCTCATTGGCATGCTGCCTGCACTTATCACTGGGTTTGTTTTTATGTGTGTTTACACATGCTTCCTTATCTTTCTATACACAATTTGTGTGTGCTTGAATGTTTGATGTTTGTGTTTGTGTGCGTTTAGTTTTTTGACGTCAGTCCGTCTCCGAGTATAGAGCATCTTTATCTTCTGTACCAAGCTGCTCAGCTAGTTCTGGTTCAGGTAACATTTGATATGGCAATGTATTTATTGTTTTCAGTGAGTGTGTGTATATGTGTGATTTGGTCAGTGAATCTGTTGGGCATCCCTCTGTTTGTGCTTTTGGATATAGATCTGTCTGTGTTTGATGTCTATGGTTGGTAGCTCACCCCAGATGCTCTTACTTTCTGATCAAAAGCATGGAGCTCAAACACATTAGCACCTTTTTACCAATTGAGTTGTGCTCATATTTCCTGGATCAGAAGTGGTAAAGAGTAAAAGGACATTTGGTTACAGTTGGAAGTGAAGAATGATGAAAGGTGTGTTGTGTCATTATCCAGGCCTGTATCCAGTTGGGCATTTTTGGGCAGTACTGTATATTGTATTGCCAGAAAAGGATTTGACCTACAGGACACACACAATAGCTGTAAACTCAATTTAGAATTGCCACAGAATAAATGCATTTTTATACTCATAGTGTTTGAAAACATGTGTATGTATGTTTCTAGTCATGTGTCTCCATTTGAATGTTTCATTAGGAGTGTTTACATTGTGAAACAAACCTGCTTGTATTCCACCCCCTGTAAAGCAGCACTGTGTGTACAGATCTCAGTTGTGTGTCGCTGCATGGTCTCACAGTCACGTGTGTTTTACACAATCGTCCTGTCACAGAGCCTGTTGTCACTAATGGTCTTGCTCAGTGTTCGAGTTGTCTTTCTTGGAAAGTTGTTTGAGGGTCAGTGAACTAAAGATGGCTCTTTGTTTTTACACGGTTTATCATTAAGGTCAAGAAATACTCTTAAAGAGACCCTATTATTCCTTTTGGGGGGGTTTTACCTTTCCTGTAGTGTGTTACACATACACGCACTCCCCCCCACCCCCCTGCCTAAAATGCCATCTCTAAGCAGTTTTCCAATCAGAACAGAGCCGGCCAGCTAACCAATCAGAGCAGACTAGGCTCTGGTTTCAGACAGAGGGTGAAAAGAGGTGCTGCAGCACAGGCAGTATGAGAACAATGAAGAGCTTTTTGAACATTAAAGCATGGAGACATGTCCCAGTAGAGACATGTCCCAGTAGAGACATGTCCCAGTAGAGACATGTCCCAGTAGAGACATGTCCCAGTAGAGGCACTACATACTGATATACACCTGAACATGAGCATAGTATGTCCTCTTTAAGTTCATTGGTTTATTTTTATTTTGGTGTGAAGTCTTTAAGGTGCAGCAGTTAAACCAAAGAGCAGCTTTAGCTCACTGATCCATTATGAAGGAGATTGGCGTTAACACGTGATCACTGCCGGGTTTGTCTACTTCCTCCTCCCTCCCTTTTCCTCCCTCCCTTTTCCTCCCTCCCTTCCTCTGCCTTATCCACGTTCTTCTTTCTCCCTTCTTCTTCCTTCTGGTCCTCCATCCTCTTCTCAGCCCAGTGTAACTCAGTCTACCATTTCCTCGGCGACCTTGCCCTCTCCGTCGCCATCCGTCACTGTTACCATGCCAACAGCGGCCGTGGCCTCCCCTCCCTCTCCTCTGCCACTCCCTGTTGGGGTGGTGCCTACTATTGTTTCCCCTCCTCCTCCTGTGCCCACACCTGTGCCCACACCTGTGCCTCAGCCCTTGGCCACGGTGGTGCCAATCATCACTGTAGTCACCGCCCCGCCTGATACTCCCATGGAAGCCCCTCCCCAGGTACTGGTCATAGCCTGTCAGAGCAACACGTCAATGTTGTGGGCGAGTGAGGATTGTGTACTTTGTTTTGGGTTGGACAGCATGTTATATAAGATGAAACTCAATTTCTGTATTCTTGTGAGGTTTGCTCTTACTCTGTGCCGAATCAGATTCGCCTGATTTTTTTAGGTGTACAAGTGTAAGTGTGTATTATTCACAAAATTGTGAAGTACAATTGACCCGATGGAGCTTCCAGTCCTGCAAATTGAAAAAAGATCCCCAAGCAGCTGCATGAGTCGGTTTCTGAATGTTTCCAGACACTACATACCGTAAATACATGCGTGTTTGGGACAAAATATGCAAATAAAAAACATGAATTCAATAAAAAAAGTGAATTAGCAGGCCAGGATAATAATAACAAATGTTATATCATATATTTTTGTCATGCAAAAGTGTTTCCCCCTTTGGTTCAAAAAACAGATCTGTACCTGACAGACTGAGTAGTAACAGAGATTGATAAATGATCTCAAATTACTCGAACATTCCGCTCAAGAACAAATCTGTTACGAGTTGTTGTTGCATGATGCTCAATATCCTGCGCACCTCGTGCGTTTTGATTGAAAGACCCTAATACAGCTGCATTATGAACCCCTTTAGTTATCCGTGGATGACTCAGATGTTGGGTGGTTTTTGTTTGCATTTACAGTACATTCATATTTCAGTGCAACTCTGTGGCAAATATGAAGATGTATTATATGGATGATGATGTGCTGGTAATATTCTGGTTTACTTTTTTTGAACATAGAAGAACAAGTTTGATGTGTCATGGTGTGAGTGTAGCAACACCCTCAATCAGACAGTCATTGTTGGAAAGGTTTCCCAAACTGGTGCGGAGTCACAGAGCATCTCAATGTTGTCACAAAATGGATCACTGTACGCAGGATTCTTTCTGGTCCAAGTGCAGGAGTTCAACTCTATTCCGACTTGATTTCTAAAGTCAAAAGCTCTTACTATAGACCTTTACATTGAAACAGGGTAGCATGTGTTATTGGAGATACTACTGTATGCACATAATGAATACAAACTATTGTCTTCTGGGGAAGTTCTCGCTTTGCTCCTTTTGTTTATTGCTTAATTTTTAAGTTGTTGTGTGGCTTCATATATTTCCATTCAAATGAATCCTCTTAAATCGTGCTTTAATCTAGATTCCTCTCTTACTCGTGTCACTCTTTGCTTGTACTTCATGCTTTCCTGTTGTATTTTCTTCTTTGTGTTGGTTTTGATAGTGATCAAATGGACTGATGTGTGTGTGTCTGCGTGTCTATGTGTATTTTCATGTGTCTGTGTGTGTTTCAGTCTTCAGAGCTGTCCCAGTCCCAACTACAGCCACCTCAAGTCCTCTCATCTATAGAGAGGTAATACATATGATGCACGAGCAAACTCACACACAATGTCTGAACTCCTGCATGTATTGATTACATTTAATCATTTTGAATGGCGTCTCTAAGTCAGTTTCTATTTTCCTGTCATTCACTCTGGCCTCTGTTTCCCCTCTGTGCCTCAGCGGACACTCTGAGGCCTCAGGTCTGAGTGACGGAAACGAGGGAGGAGGAGGGGGTCGCCATGAAGGGCGCTCCACCAAGAGACATCAGAGGCGTTCAGTGCGAAGTCGATCACGCAATGAGAAGACCTCCAAGGCCAAACTCAATGTCCTCAATGTAATAGCACAGCCCATAAGTCCTATCAATCCTAATGAAGCAATAACTCTTCTTTTGCTAGTGTTTATTGGTTGTGAGTGATGAGCTGCAATAGAGATATGTTGACTGTCTCCTTCTTTCTAATGGTGATGTTCTCTCTGTGTATTTCTACATGTGTGTCTGTGTGTAGATCTCCAACCGAGGAGACAGGGTAGCAGAGTGTCAGCTGGAGACACACAACAGGAAGATGGTGACCTTCAGGTTCGACCTGGACGGAGACAACCCTGAGGAGATCGCCCAGATCATGGTACACACTCCGCCACTTGTTTCATCTTCTCCACAACTCTTCAGAATGATTGCAACCATCTTAATTCATTTATTATTCCATGCAGAGGCCTTTCATTATAACTACTCTTGTTGAAAATGTACTGTCCAAGACATAATTGGGACAAATTATATTGTTATTATAAAATAAACGTTTTTCCCCTGATAAATGATAATAAAAATAAGGGCTTTTAATTGAGGACATGTGCTTTAATTTGTACTGCAATCATTAGCCTTTGCAACTTAGTCTTTATGGCTAAATCTGGCTTATTAACATGATAGACTCAAGTGCCCAGGTTAATAAATGTTCACTGTCGATTCTTAAATAATTCAATACAAACCCTAATAATAATAATAATAATAACAATAAGGTGAGTACACCCTTTCTAAGAGCAATTTACTTCTAAATTACGGGGGGGGAAAGAGTGTAATTAGAATAAAAACAAATACAAAGATATCTTGAAAAATCAAACGTAGAAAACAAAACAAATCACTAACCCAAAGACAAATGGAAACTACGGCACAAAATATGCCATGTTTTTCAAAATGTGCAATGTTTGTGCAATGCCCTAGTCTTATATAATAGGGATAACCCGAGGTCAGCTAAATAATGATTTCGACAGGCCAAGGAATATGCTTCACATGCCACTGTGCGTGCTATCTCCTCTTTGTCACCTAAAACCACTGAACACACACATAATTGCTCCTTTCCTTGTGCTTTCATTGTGAGAGTTATCAACAGGTTCCCACAAGAGGTGAAATTATAGCTCTGTGGCAACGCACTGGCATAGGAAGAATAAACCAGCATGGTTTCTGTCACATATTATATTTTCTCTGCAGGTCCAGAGTGAGTTTATCCTGGAGAGTGAGAGGGAGTCGTTCATTGAGCAGGTCAGAGAGGTGATAGAGAACGCAGATGAGAAGGGTCTGGAGAGAGACTCAAACAGCCAGGTAAATACAACACACACTCTTTATGTCTGTCTCTCATTTGGTCTTTTTGATGGGTTCCTGATGTTGTTTTATGAATGTTTAAATAGCTGCTAATATGCAGTATAGCACCTTTTCTTTATTTAACACAATGTATCTCTTAGTGTTTATTTCATGTTGTGTTGTTGATCTACAGATGGCAGGTGATATGGCGCAGCAGATTCCTACTAGATCTGTCCCCATGCCAGGTAAAAATAACAAAACTAAAAACCTTCGAAAAACAACAAGCACTCGTTTGAATGCCAAAGGGGGACGCTTTACACCTGACTTTAAGCATCTGTGTTAGCAAGCATTCAAAGTGTTCCTGCCAATTCTATACATGACCGTAAAGTGTCCATCCACAAAGCTTCCTTGGCTTGATGAACTCTACTGTAGAATATCAGCGTGCATATGAATCTCTCAGGGATTAACAATAACAATGCTATGTATTGACATGCTCCTCTCTGCAGACATCTCTCCCAGTGCAACAGCACAAGTGGTCCATTCAGCGGGTCGGCGGTTCATCGTCAGCCCCGTACCTGAGGCCCGGCTGAAGGAACAAACACTCCCCTCTTCCCCTTCTCTGGCCCGCCAACGGCCTGCAGGAATAGGTAAGGGTTGTGTTTGTGTGTGAGTGTGTGTGTCTGTCCTTCAAAAGTCAGCAGTTCACTTCTTTTCTTTTAGAATAAAAGGTTTGCTTTTAAACCTGTTATTACTCTGGTGGCCCAAAAGGGAAGCAAAGACAAACAAATGTTCCCACAGTCATCAGGTAAAGCTGAAATGCTTTTAGAGGAAATTGCCCAAATGATCCGTCCAAGTGCAAAAACACACGGACAATTGCTTAATTTGATAGAATATGACCTTTTAATAGAACAGTGAGATATTGTTTAGCTACTGCTCACAACAGACCCGGTTTCTTGTGACCAAAGAACAGCTTAGGGGCTTTCTTTGGCCCGATGTGTAGCTGTGATGTAATCACGGCTTGAAATTGTTTTTATAAAATAGTCGTCAAGTATAGGAATTAGAAAGTTATGGACACATTACACTTATACTGAATACTATAATTATTTTTAAATAGTAGTGTCGCCCCTCCCGCTCTCCCCCTTTTTTCTCTGTCTGTGTTTTCAGTGTCTCTTTGAACATATTTATGTAAATCACCTTCGGTTGCCTCTGTGTATGAAATGTGCTTTATAAATAAACGTACTGCCTTACTGCCCAAAGATTGTACAGTGAACCAGACGGGCATTGGGGATTAAACCACAGTTTCTCTGGTTGCAGTTCCTCCAGCTGCAGCTCCAGCCCAGACCCCCGCCACTGGTGTGAGCTTGTCCCAGTCAGCTGGAGCCATCAGCTTACAGCAGGCCTTCTCTGAGCTCAGACAGAACCGGGATCAGTTTGACCCCGGACCCAGCACTGCCCCTGCCTCCATCCACTCCACCCACCCCCCTCTGCAGCCTGCAGCAGCTACTGCCCCCCCACAGGCCAGCTCAGTCCCTCCAACTGTGGATCCTACTGCTACTCTCCTCCCTTCTAGTTTGAACCCGCCACAGGAGCAGGTGTTGGAGCCCTCCCTTTCTCCTCCTTCCTCCTCCTCTATGCCCAGTGCCCCTCTCAGCCATCCTTGCTCCTCCCCCTCTCCTCCCACTGGGGTGAGTCAGTCCACCCTTCAGTCCCAGCCTGTGTGCCTGCCCCAGGTTCAAGCACAGATTCAGCCGCAGGCTTTCCCCCAGCCTCAGTCTCATCCTGTCATTGCTGCATCAGCCCCCTCCCCTTTACCACCTGCCAGCATCTCCGGCCTCCCCCCACCACTGCTCACCTCCCCTCCTCCCGCCCAGACTCCTGTATCCTCGCCTCCTTCCTCCACTCTTCTAGCTAGTGAAGTCTCCTCAGAACATCCGTCAGTGTCCCCCCCCTCCCCCTCTACTGCTTCCCTCTCCTCCTCCGTCATCCTCACCACTGCCATCCCAGGCCCACAGCTCACTCCCCCCACCTCCTTCCACACCACCACCCCTCCCTCCTCTTCCTCCTCCGTTGTGGGGCTCCAGCCAGTGACCACCAATGTTCCTTCAGTCCAACCGACCTTGGTCCACTCCCAGCCGCAGACGGCAGCGCTGCCTGGGCAGACGCACACACACTGTGGGGAATGTGATGCAAGGTGAGAATATCTACTCCCTGACCTTATTGAGACTGACTAGTAAGTGTTCACGTACCAAAAGTAAGCACGGATAGCTTGCTCAGTTTAATTATCCTCTTATTATTCTCTGATCAGACCGTTTCTGATTTAAGTCCTAACTTTTAAAGTTGTACACCATGTTGTGTGTTGTTCTTTTTACTATGGATAAGTGCTTCATCAGCCTCACTTCAACACATACGAACTATCCCTCAAATGTTCTGTCAAACATAGAACAGCTTTAGTTGTGATTGTGTTGTCTCCTGGGAAAAGGTGAAATGTTCATGCACTCGTCACTATAAAGCCAGTTTCATGGGCTTTGGGTCATTTATTGAGCATCATTGCAGATCACTCATTGATATCTCTCTCAGGTGTGAGGCGTTCAATGAGTCCCAGGGTAAGCCGGACGACATCCAGGCTCTGGAGATGAAGCTGCGCTCTCTCTTCATGGACATGGGTGGAGGGGGGTCAGCCACCGGGGGAGACCTCTCAGCTGCTGACCCTGCGTCTGGAGCCCACGCAGCAGGTACCTCGTCCCCAATGGGCCCCTGCCCTACCTCCAGCGCATCTGTCACCACACCTGTGTCCAGCCAGCCGGCCAACCCTCCTCAGCCCCCCTGCACCCTGCCGCTGGGCTCCCCTGCCCCCGCCCAGAGACCAGGAACACCCATCTCCACCCCTGCTCCCATCGGTATGTAGAGGAATGTGTTTGTGTTTCTGTAAATGATCTACTGTAGGTGAAACTGTGATATAACTTTGCTGCTCACTGATTTTATGATTTCAGTTTCTACAGTCGTCCCTGCTTCATCCTTTGGCCAGACCACTCCATCCAAAACTCCTTTATCCAGGACATCGGTGAGTGATCCAGCTTAACTGTAGATGGCAATACTACTTATTTCAATATACCTATTGGAAATTGTATCCATTATTGAATCCTGTAGACAGCTACTGTTGCATAGTTTTACAGTAATACACCTTTAAAATTGAAGAAGTCACATCATTTAATCTTTATATGTAAAGGTTTTTCCGAGATGTTTCTACTCACTTTCCTTGCATGAACATTTATTTTCACGTTCTGTACAACAAACGCCGTTCTTATAACCTCCTCTACAAATATTTTCCCTCTCGTTTCTCCCTCTCTGTCTTTTCATGGCCTCTATTTCTCTGGGATCAGGCCAGTTCTCCTCCTTCAGAACTCCTGCCATCATTCCCTGGACCTTGTCTAACACAGGTGTTTTTTTGATCCTTTTAAGAGTTCTATTTCCCATGCAAAGCAACACGGTGTGTAACCTGAGCCTGTAATGCTTATGAAGGCATATCCATGCATCTGTTGTGTGTGATTAATGCTTCTGCTGGGAAGAAACACTTTTAATTCCTAGTGCTCACTGAACATTTAACAGCACTGGCCTACAGTAACCCTGAAATATACCTTAGAAATAATGACATATTAAATCAAATACAGACATTTAACTAGCAACTAACACTAGCACTTTACTTTAAATGATAAAAGGATTACATTCAGAGAGCAGCAGTCCAATAAAAAAGGATGAGAGACATGGAAACTTAGAGAAGTACCTCCAATCAGAGAAGTGCATTTAGTTTCCAGCACATTTAGTTGCCTCTGCCTCTGTGCATGCTGGTGTCTAAAGATAGCCACACCATGTGACCACTTGATAGTGAGACTTGTATTTCTTAGATGGAAAATATTGAAGCCAAGTTACCATCTTTCACTCCTTGTCCTGTTTGATCAACAGAGCTGCTGTTGAGCTCAAGGGATTTGCCTTCCACATCACCTTACCTGGGATTGTGTGTGTTGGCTCAGGAGAGGGGGCTCATGAAACTTAGAGGGATAATGCCTTTTACAGTACCCGACTTCAAAAATATACACACTTAAATCTTCTGAATTTCAGTCAAATATATAAAAAGTTGAGCCCTAGTAGCCATACTTGTGTGCTTTACGCTGATCTGTGCTTGTATTGCTAATCAACTTCAGTGGCTAATCCTGTGTGTGTTATCTTATTATTTTCTGGTGGGTTTAAATGTGAATCTGTCTCTTTCCCAGTCCCAGCAGCCTCTGGAGGACCTTGATGCTCAGTTGAGGAGAGCGCTCAGCCCAGAGACACACACACAGGTAAACACCAAACACACACAATTGGATGTTAATCTGCTAACTCATACTCATTTTAACCCACTTCCTTCTTCTTCCTCTTTGCTCACTCAAGGCCTCTCACAGTGGCACGCATTCAGCGGGACAACCAAGTATGTAAATGAATACATCTGTTATTTTATCTTGGTGTTATTTTTATGTCTAATTTCTGTAACATCTGTCTCACAGTTCCTTTCTCTCTGGATGAAGCCGAGTCCACCTCTGGTCATTCAGGTGGAATTAAACTGGGAAGATTTCAGGTAAAATGTCCCTCATACTCCAGATCCTACAAGAACACCTACACATTTCCTTTTATGGCGAGTGAAAGGAGGACATAATGAGTTAAAAGACTTTTATTTCAGGTTGTGATGCTTCTTTGCCTGAATTTGCTGATTAAAGTTCTCTGTTTATTCCACTGTTAGCAGCTGATTCATTGTAGCCTTTATTTAACCAGGTGAAATCCCATTGAGATCAAACGATCTCTTTTTCAAGGGAAACCTGCAGCAAGTCGGTTACACATGAAAACATAAAAACAACAGAAGACAAAAAGGACATCATACAACATAATTACAGGGGTACAATTTACAAACCTATCGACACTGACAGGTACCAAGAGTATCAAATTGCATTGCATCTAGCCGAGCTTTAAAACGATGCAGGGGAACCAAGATGCTCAGTTTCAGTTCTTTTTGCATAGTGTTCCAAGCTAGAGGAGCTGCGCACATAAAAGCTTTCGTACCTAAATCAGTCCTAGCACTTGGCACATGTAACAAAAACACATCCTGGGATCTCAGGCAATAGCTACTTGCAACTCTCTGTGAGATCAGAGAGCAGATATAAGACGGTAGTTTACCCAACATGGCTTTGTAGATGAACATGTACCAATGACTGAGCCTCCTGTTAGTGAAGGCATACAGGGTACAGTGATGAGTGAGTACTTTACAGTTAGTAACAAATCTCAGCGCACTGTGATAGTCTGTTTCTTCTTCTCTGTTGCATTGCCACCTCACTCCTCTCACTGGTCAGGTGTCCTTGGCCACTGAAGCGCCTCCTGTCCACCGCCCTGCCTGCACTGAGTCTTCCTCCACCTCCTCCTCGTCCTCCTCGTCTTCTTCCTCCTCGTCCTCCTCCAGTCTCTCCAGCCCGGAGAATACACTGCACAAGAACTCCTCGACTCCTCTCAGAAAAGGAAAAGGAGGAGACGTTGTTGATGGACCTCCTCAGCGCTCTCAGGGGGGGTCCAAACAACCCTCCCCCCTCACCTCACCCTGCCCCTCCACCACAATCGGACGCTTCCAGGTATTTCCTGTTTGTGATCGTGCAATGCACTGGGGGAAGGGTTTCTTTACTGAATGCAGTGTTGGGGTAGTTTCTCTAAATAAGTCATGCATTACACATTACTAGTTGCTTTTAAAAAAAGTAATCCCTTACTTTAGTAAATGAGTCACTGCTGATAGTAATTAGTTTACACTACTAGTCACATTACTTTTGGACTCTATAACATCACCTGAGATGCACCATAAATCCAATGAGAAATAACAATATAAAGTTGAACCTCATTTATCCCGGATCAGCACCAATCCTTTACTAATGAAGCCAATCCTGACGCAGCACTGTTTTCTTAGCTCAGTTTCATCCGAACACTGGTCCAGGTAGCTTCAAAGGTTCTCCTATCTGATGGCCGCCCGCCTGTTACCTGTATCTTCCTCAACATGTTTCGGAAAGAGGGTGGCAGCATTTCCTCAATGATGTTTCCTGCGCCTGTTTATCTCTGCTGTGAGACTCTGACATTACTGGTCCATCTCATCATCCATGAAGTCACGAGTGTAGTGGAAGAGAAAAGGGACGTTTGATTTATTTCTCTGTCTCCTGTTATTCAGATAGTTAAAGTTAAAGTATCCAAAGCAATGAGATAACTTTGTGCTTAGTAACTGAAATATTAACTGCTGTTATCAACAGTAACACAGTCACACAGACAAATGTAATCTGGTTACAGTAACATGTTTCCCCCAACACTGGCCACATGTATAAACTAATGCTATTTTCCTTTTTCTTTGTCCTACCAATATTATTTCAACCAATTATTCGCTCTTCTATCAGGTCACCACCAGCCCAGAGGCCCGTGTTGGTAGGTTCTCAGTCAGTCGTGCCCAGGAGCAGAACCTGGAGTCCGGGCTGAGCCCCCCGCCTGCCCCCCCGGCTGCTAACGGACCCAGTCACCCTGCGCAGGTTCTGAGTCCAGACTCCACTCATAAAGCGTCACTGCCCAGTTTAAACAACAACTCTTTCAATAACTCCTACATCAGCAGCGACAACGACTCCGAATTTGAGGATGAAGACTTCAAACTGGAAGTCAGCCACCTGAAAGAAAAGTGAGTAACCCCTCCCCTCTTTCAAAGCATCTCAGAGATATTACAGACTTGTTGTCCTCTCAACACTTTAATCAATCTTTCACTTCTCTGTCACCTTTTGTTTATTAAGTCAAACTGCTATAAACTAGTTTTTACTCTCTTCTTTCTTCTCCTTTTTCTATTTCTGTGCCCTGAGAAATAGTGGGCTGTTCTTCTCTTTTCTCCTCTTCCTCTTTGAGCATGAGGTTAACCAACCAATTTCCTTCATTACTTCTTTTTCTAGCTTCTTCCTCTTTTCTTGAAAAGGGATGTTAAGCACTTCCCAGAACACTTAGCCCTCCTCATCTCTCTCTGCTTCCTTACCCTGATTATATTTTTCTTTCTTTGCCTGTCAAGATTTTATTAATATGTTTGTGTTCCCTCTTTTTACCACCAGGCACATGCGTGAGATTCAGGCCTTACACTCCCGCCAGAAGGAGGAAATAGACAGTCTCTTTACAAAGCTGGGAAAGGTATCTCTCCTTGTTTCATCAGTGCAGACACTATGAACTCCATCACATACAGTACATATCTCTCAACCATTCTTCCTTTGGTTTTGATGCAGGTTCCTCCAGCTGCAGTGCTCCCACCAATTATAGGCTTGACTGGAAGGAGAAGACGACCTACGAAGAGCAAATCCTCCAAATCGTCCAGAACCAGCTCCACGCACAGCAGCAAGAGTCCGTTACAACCAGGTACGCTCTTCTGTCAGAAGCAACACCATTTCTTTCTCTCTTCTAGTGGTAAATAGTCTTGTAGCAGTTGGTTCAAAATGTTTCCAGGATTTGAGATATTCTCGCCGTTACCCCATCATTAAAACATAGCTGCTGGCATCGCTATAGATCTTTTTTTAATCTAATTTAACAATTGAGAGCAAGACAAGTGAATCCTCACTTGAACTTGAATACATTGCAATGATGAGCATGGCTTGAGAGGAGGAAAGTGAGAAAATGTGTCCTTTGTATCATTTGGTTGAAATGACCATTTAACACTCTACTACAATGTTCACTTAATCTTAAATTGTACACTTCTTCCAGAATAGATCAAAACGTTCACCCCTAACACTGTTTCTTGTGTTTATGCATGCATGTGCACATACATGTGTGTGTGTTGTTGGTTACACGTGCATGTGTGGGTGTTTGTTGGTGCAGGCTCAGAGCTTCAACATTTCTGACTGCTTTCCCCGTCTGTCTCTCTCTGTGTGTGGTCGTGTGTGTGTGGGGGGGGTTGTCTATGGAAATGTCTGTGGTGACGGGTGTCTTATCTGTGTGTTGTCTTTTTGTGTGTGTGTGTGTGTGTCTGCGGTGCGTCCTTCCTGCCCTGTCCTCTCCTGCCTGTGCCTTGTGGTGTCTCCAGGCAGCACTTTATCGGCCCAGAGCGCCCCCACCCTGCCCCCCGGCCCGCTGGATTCGGGCAGCAGTACTCTGCTCCAGCCTCTCAAACCCTCTCCCTCCAGCAACAACGTGTGCTCGGCCTGCACCAGCGACACGGCGCTCTCTGTGCCCAGCCTGTGTGCTCCCACCCCAGGTAGGCCATTGTTGATCCCTGTAGGCCTCATCAGCTTCCCCACAACATGATATTTACACACTGATGCATGCACTTGGTTTGCCTTCACACTCTCACAACAATACACTTCTCACACTGTTTCTATCTTTCTCTAGCTGTTTCTAAAATTGGCTAATGGACTGTGACCTTTGTACTCCTTCACCTGTTTCTCTCTCCTTCCCTCTCATCTATACCTTTTCTGTCCTCATTCTTTCCACTCTGTTTCTTTTTATCTGTTTTTCTTTGTTGCTTTCCTCTCCTCTCAATATCTCATCTTCACCTCTCCTTTTCTTCACCTCTTCTCTCCTCCTCTTCCTCCCGTCCTCCCTCTCTTCAGGCTGTGTAAAGTTCAGCTGGGGTTCGGAGCGTTTGGCCTTCAAGCCTGGCGGCAGGAGGACGCGCTTTCTGAGTACGCCCTGCTTGGCTCTTTGTGTGTAACGCTTTATTTCTTTGCTCTTCTCTTTTGACCCGTCGTCCTTACTTACTTTTGATCTTACTTTTGTACTCCTGTATCTGTCAAGTCACGGTCATCCTGTCTTCCCTTGGGTTTCCTTCTTTGATGGAGGAAGACCTTTTGCTACTGATATCATTAGTGTCAAAAAAAGTTAGCTTTTAGGCATTAATAGAAAACCATCTCACCCTGGGCTGGCAGACTTATCTTAAATCAACACTTGTAAACTATGTGTGCTGCCCTATGCAGGTCAAATTAGCAGTCAGATGCTTTTTTACATTTATTCGTATCTTCCTTACAAAAATCTTTATTGTTCATGTTGGAAAATTAGTGAAAATCTCAAGAATAAAAGCTTACTTAAGAACACAGAAAGTTAGCCCAATGTCAAAAATGTTCACATCCTAGAGCTTCCCATCGTCATCTTAACTAACGTTTTAGTCTTCTTTCCACTCCCTCTATCCTCTCTATACTCTCAGTATTCTCTCCCTTTCTTTCTTTCCTCCATGACAAATCACTCATCTCTTAACTTCACATATAATGCCAATCTTGTGCACTTTAGGCTGCGGGTGTTATCTTCAGGCAGGGTGGAGCATACTGTACCAGGCTGATCACAAAACAGAAATTGTGATTTGTAATGCCATGGAGCATTGTGAAATCCTTCAGATTTCCATCCTGATTGACTTGTTGAGAGCCAGGAGCAGCAAGTGCAGTTTATACTACAAGGCCTGGAATTCTAAGGGTTCACTCTTTTATCAATCATCAGAAATACAAAACTAAATCATAACCAGAAATAATTGCATGAACATTAATAAGCTCCCTGGGAAAGCACCGGCTGAAGTACACATTGATTGTGAAAGTAGCTTCATTGATAACTAGCCCTTTTGGCAGTTAGCAATGTGTCTTGTTTGTCTGTCAGTCAGTTTCTAATGCTGGGTGCTTCCATTTCTAAACGCTTGCCTCTGTAAAACAAGCACACTAACAGGGAAAGACCAGTTGACTCCTGATGACTTGAGATTTTCTGCTGTACAGTTTGGTTCTTTATGAAGAGATTATTAGTTTGAACTTGATTTCTTGCAATGTCCCGTTGAAGCACAGCTCTGTTCATATACTGAGCAACAGTCTGCATTTATTTTGATATTTTCCTGATTCAGATGTTTATTTGTTTTCTAAATCACAATTGATATTGTTACTTAAATGTGTTGTGCTTTATGAAGAGATGTTTATGAATGCTTCTGAACCCTCTGCAGCTCGACCCTTTCTCACTCCTTTCCCTCACTCCCTTTCCTCCCCCGTCTCTCCCTCACCTGTCCCCCTGTCACTGCACAGACAGGATGGGGAGAGAGACAGAGCTGGGTCTTAAAGATCATCACTTGTCCTTTTTCATAAACAGGTCGAAGAAAAGTTATGTAAATTGGAAATTCATTCATTTATTTATTCATGTTAATCATCTTTAAAACAGAACTCAATGGCCATTTTGTTTGGTTCTGACTTAATGAGAGATCTGTGCAGCGATTCAAAGCTCAGGCAACAGCGTACTTACATATTTCATTTGGACCCAGTTCTGGTACGGGCCTGCGAGCTGTAGAGAGGTCTCAGAATCAGAGCCAGGGGTTGGTTACCCAAAGCGTCTTCAGGCCACAGTACACTGGCAGCACTTTACCAACACTGTTTGGTACGCCTGTCTGTTTCTCCCAACTGGAGGAATGCCGACCACCATCTACTGTACAGGAAGTCATACCACCCCACTTCAAAACATTCAAACTGTCCTCTTTAGGAAGTGGCCTTAGGTCTTAGTGTGGTTTACTGATAAATATAATAAACCAGATTGATCTATTCAGTATTTATCACTGCAGTAAGTGTGCTTACATGTGTCTGCATTTGCCTAAATATCTTGGTCTTGTCTATGGAAGAACATCTTTAGATGAGTATAAAAAAGGGCAACCTGTGGTCAGTATCACCCAGCAGACACACTTTCCATGTATACATTTAAAAACGGCACTTTGCTTTACAGAGCACTGTGTGACAAGGTACTGATGTCTGTGTGAAGATGTTACTGGGCAACTCAACCCCGAGGTTTAGTTTATCGACTGCTTCAAGTTCAAATATTCATCCTGGGATGCATTGTGTGTGGATGTCGGGTGTTGTGGGTTTAATTCTGACTCTCTCCAAACCCTCCAATCGTTGTCTTCCGGCTGCACAGGGAAGATGGTGAAAAAAGTGTGCCCCTGCAACCAGCTCTGTAGTAATTATCTCTCTTTTTGGTCTTCCCTCCCTCCATCGATCCCCCTTTCCATCCTCGCACTCGCTCTCCTGCGCTTCCTCCTCTAATGCCCTTTAGATTTCAACTTTGACCCTCTGCTGGATTTGAGATCAATGTGATTCAGTTATGTCAGCTACTGTGTTTTCTAGACATTTGATATCGAACGATCACAGTTTCACACCCAGTTTGAGGACTGAAATAACTGAATCCAGCAGCCATCACAAATTCAAAGCAAACAGTGCATGCACCTGCAAGCTATTACACACACACACACACACACACACACACACACACACACACACACACACACACACACACACACACACACACACACACACACACACACACACACACACACACACACACACACACACACACACACACACACACACACACACACACACACACACGGCTGTTGGCCCCTCTGCCCCCTCCCTATCCTCTCCTCCCTCGTCATGGCTTGTGGTCTTGACTACATTGCCCAGAATTCCATGCTGCTGCAGTCAGTCATGACTCAACGTCTCCCCATTCTTATTTTCCTCCATTTTATTCAGCATGACATGCCGGTTTCTGTCAGAACAGCTGTATGATTATGTTTTACCGGCTGATGCCTGCATATTCTGTTATTATCAGTTGACTTTATCCTTAGTCTCGTTTGAACCGATAGTAGAGGAAGGATGATAGAGAAATATATAAACCTATTGAATGATTAGGCAGTATTCACGGTAGTAATAACCGGGGGGATATCGATTAATCATAAAGATACACATGCATATTATCAGGGTTGTGTCTACATTATTGGGGATCCAGTTTTGATTCAATGTAAACCTTTTAATTCTGAGATAACTACGTGTAAATATTTCATAATTATCCTCCGACCTCTCAGCATAGACTGATTTTGTTTCCTCTTGGGTTAGTAGAGAGACACTAACGTGAAGCACCTGCTTTCATTTGAGTACTGTTATCTTCTAATAGATCATGGCAACTTAAACAGAGGCTACATGCTCAGCAGCACTGACCTGCAGTCAGCCTGGTGTGTGTGCTTTCTCTGCAGTTCATTTGCTCTGATGTGTTTGAGGCTCTGGGTTGGCAAAAAGCAAACTAGCAGCTGTCACAGAGCTTGAGTGCCATCTTGTGGTTAAACATAAGAGCATGTTGTGTGTGAAGGCTGCAGGGAGCATATCACAGGCGGGCCAGTGTATCACAGAGTAGTGACACTGCAATATTTAAATGGTTATATTCTGAAACAGGTTGAGTTTTGTCACATTTGTTGATGAAATGATCTGTTTTAAATGTTGCTCTAGTGACATAGTGTTTCTCATGTTCCTGTCTGTCATCATTATTTACATCATTACAATTAAATCATATAATTCCATGACCACATGCTGACCTACCCTAAAAACGTTGTCCCGGCCAGCCTCCTCCCCCATGTAACAGTCAAGACAGAAAGTGCATAGTCATCTTTAAGATAACATCAACTATCATGTTTTAGTTTGAACATATCTCTCATGCTTTGCTCTCCTCTCTCGCTCTCCCCCCACAGGGACTAACAGCACCAACGCAGTGAGTGGGTCAGGGGGTCTGTGTCAGAGCCAGGGGGGCTCTCAGTCTCTGCCCCCCAGCATGTCTGCCCCCCACCAGAGGAAAGGAACCTTCACCGATGACCTCCATAAACTGGTGGACAACTGGGCCCGAGACGCCATGAACCTCTCACAGGTTGTTCTATGATTCCTCTCACTGTAGCAGAAGGTGTTATACTAATGATTCCCTACTTCCTGTGTTTAGCGTTCCAGACAAAACATGTGATGATTGATTGATATGGATCCTTGAGGTTTAGATAATCACTTTTTTTGTGAGTTAACTAAATATTCAACTTTTTCAGGGGAAGAGGAGTGCCAAACAGCTGCCGCAGGCCCCAGCACAGGGACACAGCTACGAGGTGAGTTTCAAAATACATGTGATCATCATGGCCTGTCAGTCTAAAAAGGACTCCTTCAGCTTAAGGGACACACAGCTGTCCAAATCACAAATTAGAGATTGAAAGTCATAAAAAGCTGTACATGTTTTCGATTTACAGACTTTCCTCATGTCCCCCCCCCCCCCCCTCCAGGTGATCCAGTCAGCCAGTCTGGGCAGGAAGTTCTCCGCCCCCGGTCAGCTGTGTCCCAGCAGCATTGGGGGGTCAGCCCACCTTCCCACAAACTCCACCACTGCTACCTCTCTGGCCGCCCACAAGGGCTCCCTGTGCCAACCCCCCGCCTCCTCCGCCCCCCCTCAACCCCACCCCCCCCAGTTCATCCATTACACCCCCACCTCGGCCTACAGCGCACAGTGGTCCGTTCCGTCGACCCTCCCCCAGGCCCCGGGGCAGCCTGGGCCCCTGCTGGTCAGCACCTCCCAGCCCCTGGGCCCCTACCCCCCCTCACTCAGTGGGCAGGGCCAGATCCCCGGGCAGGGGCCGCTCCAGGCCTTCCATCTGACCAACTCCCTCAAGAAGTCGGTTAGCAACCCGGGGGGGCCCAACCTGAGGACCACGTAGGGTCGGGGGGGGGGGCTGGTTTGAATCACGGGCCCGACTGGACTGAGTGTTACAGGCTGGGGGGGGGGAGAAAACAGTTTGAAATGACAGAAGCTGACCTGTTCACGGAGAAGCGTGAAAAAGAAAATGAAGAGGAGTGAAGACGGTGTGTGTGTGTGTGTGTGTGTGTGTGTGTGTGGTGTGTGTGTGTGTGTGTGTGTGTGTGTGTTGTGTGTGGTGTGTGTGTGTGTGTGTGTGTGTGTTGTGTGTGTGTGTGTGTGTGTGTGTGTGTGTAGTGTGTGTGTGTAGTGTGTGTGTGTGTGTGTGTGTGTGGTGTGTGTGTGTGTGTGTGTGTGTGTGTGTGGTGTGTGTGTGTGTGTGTGTGTGTGTGTGTGTGTGTGATGTGTGTGTGTGTGTGTGTGTGTGTGTGTGTGTGTGTGTGTGTGTGTGTGTGTGTGTGTGTGTGTTCCCGCCCTGCTGTGTTTTACAGTCAGGGCTGTGACTGCCAGCCAAATGCTCAAGGATAAAGAAAAGACTGAGTGCAATGTTAAAAGGCCAAAGAGGTTTCAACAGGGTGCGGGACTGCTGTTAAATAACTGTGTGTGTGTGTGAGGTATTGTGTGTGTGCACTTATGGCTCGGTCACACTTGTTCCATTACATGCTCTAAATGGAGAGAACAAGTCTGTACAAGGCCGGTCACACAATCACCCTTATGAGACAGCAGAGGGAGACGTTACATCAGGTGTGGGGGGGTGGGGGGGCAGCAGCGTGTCCAACAGCACCTTTAAAAGCTTCTAATGCTGCAGTAAACGTTTGGCTCTCAGAGTATTGAGATACATCTCAAGCTCTCAAAGAAGATTGGAACATGCAACAATGCAGTTTTCCAAATGGAATCCAAAAAGAAGAGCTATGGTGGATACGTGGCTGGCCTTCGCATTAAGGCTGTCTTTACTAGTTCATAGAGGCTATAACACTCCAATCAAGCTGTTTGCGTCCCTTAAATGGAAGCTACTGAAGGCAAACTTTGATATCGGAGAGAGTAGAGCAGAGAGAACAGAATCTTAAATTCAGGAAGTATTTTTCTTCAGTAATCGGAATTTGGAAGTTTTCCTCAATTCAAAGCACACAAAATGTACAGACAAGCTTCTGCAGACGTCCAGCTGCTTTAGAGAAGGAACAGTGCAGCCCTCGTGGGGTTTGACTGGTCAGCTTGCGTGAAAAAAAACATACTCCTCTGTTACCTTCAGTGTCTTGTTCCTCCCTTGTTCTGACCAACTATTCAAACAGATGGAGGAAAGGAAGCGGACCAAGAGGGAGTGCAGCGAGCGTGGTTACATAATACCTCATCTGCACCTTTTACAAAGTGATGAATGGACAGGACACCAAACGCCTCTTCTTCCTCTATTTCCCTCTCCACCTCTCTGTTGCCATTTGAAGCAATAACAGCAGAAACCTTTTAGAGATGAAAGAAAAGCCCAAGTGAGAGAACTCAGCGTGACAAAGTGGCCTTGTTATCAGAATAATATCAGAGTCCCTGTACAGTTTGTCTCTGTTTATTTTGTAGAATGTCAGCCATGATGATTCCATTTTGTTGTTTTGTTTTTGTTTTGTTGGGTTTGTTCTGCTCGCTGCCCCCAGCTAGCAATCACACACACATATAATGCATGAGACATTCATGAAAACACACATGCATACACACACAGTCATGCACAGACTCATGTAAATACACACACATTGTTGGAGGCGTAGCAGCCCTTTAACAGACAGACACAGACTAATGCCTCAGAACTCCATTGGGTTGGTTTCAACAGTTGTGTTGAAATATTTGCGTACATTGTTGTCATGAATATTGTTGTTAATGATTATTATTCTATTTAAAAAAAGAAACAAATGTGTTCTGTCGATGGACCTGTTATACGCACACATCGGTGTACGATGTGGAAACACTGTGATTATTGTTGTTTATTATTAGCAAATGTTGTTGGACAACATTATTTTATGGGTGAGATATTACAAATAAAAGAAAATCAAAAGCATCCGGAGAACAGCTTGGGGTCCTTTCCCTTTCAATTCACTGCCTTCAGCCAATCTCATCAAAAGGTGACGCCTCTTTTCACTAATCCTCCACTGAGGACACGCTCGGAAACAAATGCCAATCAACACGCGGTCAGCGCCCTTTCTAAAAGTGAGTGAATTGAAAGCAGGAAGTGACCTCCAAGCCCGATGACAGAGAAAACAGAGTGGATAGTTGATATTTAGACAATAAAGATGCTAGCTATTGTTTTCTTAATACAGTACTTATATATCAGACACTTTAAATAGCCCTCCTCTTCCCTTTCTCCCCTGGTTTTGTTAGATGAATGTGAATGTATAAACCAATGGTGTCCATTTTAATGTACTTGAAAAAAAAAAAAAGGTCTGTCTTTAGTTTTTGCTTTCTTTCGCTCCCCGACCCTCCCCTAGAGCCTCCGGTGTAAACTGGAGGGACTTACTAGTGCCTTGCATACTTCCTGTTGCTTGTTTCCGTGGGGGGGGGTTGAGGACTTGGGTTGAAGTAAGCACACTTGACGGCTTGTGTGGAGAGGTTTAAGGGGGGGTCACTTTGAAGTCAGGGGTGCTGATTGGACCTGGTGTTGGTGGAGCTTCATGGAGAGGCAGCTCTAATGTGTGTGAGCTGCTGCAGCGTGCCCTACAGCTGGGGTGTGGTTCATTCTCTTTGATTTCAGAATGATTTAGTGTATTTTCCCCAGAAAGATACATTGCTTCCCCAACTTTGCTCTTTGAATTGATAGGATGAATTGACCTAACCTCTGCTGCCATTTAAACCAATCAGATTGACCCTTTGAGATTGAAAAAGGCTGATGTTTCTGTGAAGAGAGGCCCGCTGTGGTGCTGAAACTACACACGATAAGGCCCAGTTACTCTCAACTCCATTAAATATAAGAGTTTATCAGTGCCATTTCAAAATGTAGATATTGGGGAAAATGGGGCGGGAATATTTTTTGAGTTTTAAGGCAGGAGTTTTAAAGATTGTATTTGAAGCTTGGACCACTCTGTATTTTAGAGGCACAGGTGCAGCATGGAGTATAGATTTCAAAGGATGGCTTGTCAAGAGTGAGTGGCTAATGATGACACTGTGGCCTCTGGATTAAGTAATCATTTAGATTTGGTAGTGACCAAACAAGCTACCAACTGTCATTATATTCTGATTGGTGCACTCCAACTAAGACCCTCCTACTTTAAACTAGTGAAAAGAAAACTGAGAAGCAAAGAAATTCAGACATTTCTCATGTAAAATAACCCAAACTGTCTCAGTATTTAAGAAAATATTGTTTTCTCGCTCCTCAAGTGTTAACCATTGTCATCTCATTTTATCCCAAAGAAAGCATTTACGAGGCCAGCAAACCTGTACAGTCCTTTAACAGATTTGTTTGAAAATGCCACCTCATCAGGAAATTGCTGCTATTGGTTAAAAAGTCTGCAAAAGGTTTGAATATATTTGATCCACTCCTTTCCCACGGTGTGTTTCTGAAGCTGCACCATTCAAAGAAATGACTATGTAAACCAAAAATGAGTCAATGTTTGAACATAAGGGCCGCACAGTGCTGTGGTGGTGATCGTATTGGGAATGATGACGGTGAGAAAATGATGATGGTGATAATGGCTGCTTGAGATTCAAAGCCTTTGACACCCTGTCCTCTTTTCTTCTTCTTTCATTTGTGCAAATGAAACACATCTGGTACAAACTCTGACATTCACCTACAACTGTTTAGTTTCTTTTGGAAAGGTGTTCTGGGTTCACATATAAACCATAAAAAGGTTACTTTTAAGTTATTTTTACAAACAAAACCCATAGCTTTTGCTTGTTTCTTGGGAGTTTCTTTTCCATTTCCCATTTGTAATAATGCACATTTTTACCTACTTAGGCAAGTTTGGTTGAAGCTGTGAATAATCATTGAGACACTTTTCTTTAGTTCTGGTCATGATGATTTGTCAAACCTTTAATGATGCCAAGGACTCAGTGCCATCAGAGGTAAAGAATAAAACAGATAAATGCTGTTTGTTTTTCTGCTTTCACTCACTGGAGCTGTTTTGGTTGCCAGGATTTTCACTTTGCAGTTACTCGAGCCTCGAATGATTTCCACAGTGGAAGTGTGATCATGTTCTGCTGTGTCTCTACTACATAATTCCTATGAGAGGAATTCCTACTGTGCAGCGGCTACAATGCAATATTATTTAAAGTTACCGTCGGCTGTGTGCTCTTTTTGTGAAGTTTTCTGAAGTTAAAGTGGAAACAGTTATTTTTCTGGTGAAACATACATTGTAGCAATAGTTGTTTTACATTCAGATTCACAGTTTTGCCTGTTCAGGATTCACTTCATCTTTTTTGCTTTTTACTGTAGAAGTGCCAACATGTAAAGAATGCCTTTCAGTGCTCCAACAGATCCGAGGTCAGCTTGACTCTGTGCGTCTCCGTGCTGTTTCATGTAGCTTGCTCCTGTGGAATAATGTCTCAAGCACAGCAACAGATTCTCTGTTACTGAAGAACATTTCTCAACATGTTGATTACGTTTCTGCTTTCTCTGATGTTTTGTTTTTCTGTTTCTCACTTGTTTTATCAGCAGTTTTAATGTCTGTAGCGGCACCTAACTTGATTCAGTGGTTTCATTTTTCTGTATCGTGTTTGACATTGTACAAAGTGGTTGGATTAAAAAACAGATGGATGAATGAATGAAAGAAAAAAGAATACATAGGGAGTCATCGGCAGCCTCTAACGGTATGTTTTGCACTAAGTATAGAGTGTTCAAGCTTCATATTAAAAAAAACTTTGCGCTACAATACAATGAAATTTGTTACTTTATTTGTAAAACTTAATAAATAAAAGATGTTTAAAATGAATTGAAGTGACTGGATTTTAAATCAATATGAATAAAGGAATGAAATGAAAGAGTATTTTTAGATATAAGAAATGGTTATAATGTCAACATATATTTATTTTTAATTAAAGGATTTGGTATATATGTTTGTTAAATGTATTTCAATTCTAATATCCAGTTATAGTTGGCAATGCTACCTCTGTCATTACTTTATAATTCAAGAAGACAATTCAAAGTGTGTTATATCAGCCATATCATTGCAAAAAACAAACACAATATAGACAATATAAAGGGACTTTTGTTTACTAAAATACATATTTTTAAAGCTATTTTTA